TCGACCTTCAAAATTTCCCCTCATAACACACTGAATGATGTTAGCCCGTCTCCATTAGCCCAGTCGGAGCAGAACATTTTATTTCGTTCTGCTCCAACTGGGGATAATGGAGACGGACATACCCTATACAGACATACCCTATACTATGAGGGAAACTTTACCCGGATAGCGGTGCTACGGCCTACTCTTATATTGAATTACAACTTCCCTCACAATACACTGTTGGCGTATGCCCGTCTTCATTAGCCCAGTCAGAGCAGAACAGCAGGACGTTAAACACAATTTCATTTTATTCAATTTTCCTACTTTTCTGCACCAATCGGGCTATTGAAGATAGGCATACGCCATGCAGAGTGCTATGATGGAAATTTTCAATGGGCCGTGAAGGATTCTTTTATGTGTCCGCCAATGTGTACACAGGAGCTTGATTTTTGTCCCATCTACAATACTAGACACTGCATATTGCCAGACCCTTTGTCCTGCACTACCGACAGGGAGAAACCACGCTGCAAAATCCCGGAAAACTTTCTTGACCAACACCAGGATCAGTGTACATAATCATAGTAATGCGAAGAATATGGCCGATAACCCGACATCACGACACCACGACAACCCAACAACCCGACACCACGAAACCCGACATCACGGCACCACGACAACCTGACATCACGACATCACGACATTTTAACCCGACAATACGACATTTTACGCGACATTACGACATTTTTAATGTCGTGGTGTCGGGTGAAAATGTCGTATTGTCAGGTTAAAAATGTCGTGATGTCTGGTTGTCGGGTTGTCGTGGTGTCGGGTTATAATGTCGTGATGTTGGGTTATTGGGTTATCGAGTTGTCGCCTTATGAAGGGCGACACCACGACATCACGACATGATACCAATCAGCTACAATAAAAATATGATATTCTACCATGAAATCTTCCGCAAGTAGTTATACTATCCACGTTTTGCTTTATTAAAATTTAATCAGAAGTCAGAAGAAATATTCCTGTATAAAGAAAGACTCAACAAGATATCCATGAACTTCTGTCGATATGCATGATATTATGGTGGTTATATTTTCTATCAACATGAGAGTTGGAAAAAACAGTATCGAAATTTGCTTGAGTCATGAGAATTACGCGCGAATTTTCTAAAATCAGAAGCTATGACTATGAGACAATATTTCCATGCATGTACAGGATTCGATTGATGTGATGCCAAAATGTTGACGATGCTTCGCACCTGAGTCTTCTGACTTTACTTAAAGTAGCTAAGTCTCTAACTCAATATCATCCAAAATCTTCAACATTGAAAACACGATTTATTTGTCAAATTAAATCAACATTCATGTTGTGATCTTACCGGAAAAAGATGGCTTTTGATACCCAAAATTTAAGACAAAATAAACATTTTACCATTGGTACACAAATCGTGTACCATAATGCGCTTCAGACCCAGTTGTATCGAGAGACTCGAGGGACGAGGTTAGACACATTGCACCAAATCAAACGGCGTATGTAGACTGGAATAACCAGACGCTAGAAATTTGCACTCGCTTGAGACTGCTGGCTTATTTCGCCGAACATAACTGATTTGAAATTGGAGTATAAACGGAAACCATTGAATGTAAATCAGTTTATATACATTCATAATACAGTATTATATGTGTTGCGACCTACTTTTGTCAATTTCTAGGTCCCAAATGTTAGCGATTTAGCTCCTTTAAATGAAAGTAGGAGAAAAAAATGAATTTCAACTACTGAGTCCGCCGCTGTTATTTTAACGACGGGCGACTCACACGTGACCCGGTAACTATTTATTGTCTTTAAAATGTATTGCAAAATCGCGGTAAAGTAGAAATTAAATCAATCTGGTTAATACACAGATCCTATTTCGTTTCGTTTTTATAGTTCAAAATTTCGTTTTACTTGTCTTTACTACACTTGGACCTGGAAGAGTTGTTATTTAACTCGTGTTCTGAATGGTGTCAGGGATAAGCCAATGAAACGGTCTGTTAGGGCGAGCTTTAGGCGTGTTTTTCACGGAACTGTGGGTAATCCACTAGTAACATCAATGCTGATTGGTTAATCAAATGTCTGACGTCATAGGGTCATAAGTCGGTCTTTTGACCACTGACGTGACCTATCGCTATAACTTGTCAGATCTTCATGTAGTGTAGGCTATCGAAAGTATAAAAAAACGAAACGAAATATAGATCTGTATTTTAATTAGATTGAAATTAAATAAAATTTATTCAAGTTATTTAGTATCGGTAAATACGCAAAACTAAAGACAATGAAAGCACTCTGTTAACCTTGATTTGTTTTTTTAAATCTATAAAATCAACAACAAAAGTCACTGTGCATTCTGTTGCGTGAAAGGTTTTCAACCCTAATTGTCTCTGCCCTTTATTTTCTTTTTCTTTTTTTGTTATCTTTTCTTTATTTTATTTATTTTTTTTTTTGGACTGGTATTGTTTGTATATATTTTGTATTCAACCGTAATATTTCACAACAACTTATTCTTGGACTGTTTCAGGGTTGTAGTAGGATAGAAAGTTCTCTTTCGCCTTAACATCCCATTTTTAAAGGGACAAGATTAGCTCATTATAGATTATGTTTTTTGAAGTGTAGTAATTAGCACTAACCGTACTTTCTAGAAGATATATTTGATCGCCCTAAATTAGGTAATCTGTTTACCCGTCTAAACTTATATTGACCTGTTCAGCCATCTAAACTTCTTGATCTGTTATCGTTTCGATGCTGTGAAAAACCGAGGACCAACAGCGAACAAAGAAGCAGCGAGAAACGCTACAGTTCCGGTAAAGTTCTCTCTCTCGTATGACCGACGTAACCATGGAAATTAAATTTGCAAAGCTAAAGTATTTTGTTGACAAGACTCATCCCCGGATTAATGATGAAGCAAATTAAACACCCTTTTTTGAGCACCAAAGGAATTAGGCACAAGAGTTTTTTTTCCTACGCCACATTTATCAAGCGCATATACCAGAGCCCACAAAAAGTCCATCCACAATAAACATAATATTAACTGGAATTTATTTAATCAATATTTGTCTTAAACAAATAATGGAATCTCGTGTATAGTTATCGTTGCTAAGTTACCCTGGAGTATTATCCAGTACATATAGAGAATCTCCTACCAGTCTTTTTTGATATCAAAAAATATCAACACAAGTTGATAAAGTAACAAAAAACGAGGCTCTGCCGAGTTTTTTTTTACTTTATCAACGAATATTGATATTTTTTGATATCAAAAAAGACGAGTAGGAGATTTTATTTATCACCCAATCCCTTCTTACATGCACAAATAGATAAATATAATTCTTTGCTGTAGATTTCACTTTTACTGACCATTACGGCGTAGTGATACCTCATTTTTTGACAGCAATTCAACCATTGCAAAGTCCTTTATATTTTAATAAGAAATGAACTGTTCTTTGAAAATAAAAAAAGTAGTTCCTTTTCATCTGACCAATCAAATTCATGTAAAGCGATATCTCCAAGGAGATATCGCAGTAGATTATGAAATATATCACACAAGCGATATCTACTGCAGAATGTATTATTGGGTGATAAATATAGCTAATAGGTTCTTATTAATCACAAGACAAACTCAAGTAAAAAGCAGCGAATTTGAAATGAACTGTGGTAAAAAGGTGACAGTCAACAAACAAATGTCAAGTATTTTGATATTAATATTAAACATGAAATAAAATGCAGGATGTAAATACTACTCGAATTTTCAAACTGTTCTTACATTCACGCAAAGTTGTCGAACCCACCAAAGTTTCGGGGCGTTGGTATTTTAATAAAATATGTAAATCAATCCCAACAACTTGTTAACAAAAGTACCTCTAACCTAGCCGTTTGTAAGGTTTCGTACATTGGCAGTGTTAAGCGAAAAGGTAGACTTAGCAACTCTTTTGACTATGCTTTTAGTAACTGTGGATTTAATCGTGATATAGGGATATAACTGTAAACGATTTTGACAGTAAAATAGTTCAATAGCGTAAAAATAAGCTGACCTTTGACACCCGCATAGGGGCTTACTTTTCACAGACACATAACTGGTTTGCTCGCGACCTTGCGACAGCTAAATCCCACTGAGGCGCCATTGCAGAATCTTGTCCCCTTCCTGCAACCACCCCACCACACTGCTGACGAATAAAATGAATAGATTAAATGTAAAGAAGTTCCACGTTCTACTTTTCTGCACTAATTACAGAGCTATTGAAGACGGACATACGCTATGCAGTGTGCTATATCAGGGAAATTGTGAACGGACAGCAGCACCACGGATTGGTTTTTCGTTACATCCGAACGACTAGACACTGATTAGATACTGTTCCTCGCAGTGCCTATTTAACGTTCTTTAAAATCCGAGCATTGAAAAAATAATACGGCGTATTTATCCTAAAGCATGAAAATTAGCCGATTTTTTCGGTATACAAATGAAGGCATCGTCGGGTGCAGGTGACAAGTAAATTTTCGCCTTCTCTTGAATCGATTTTGGCCGTATTTTTGGCCTGCTACCAATCTTAGATAAAGATAAATCTATCAATTCCTTCAATTGGGTCATGGCCAATTTGGTCAAGATTAAGGTTCCTTCATACATTGCAGGGCTAATAAAGGAGATGGAAGGAACTATTAAGTTCTGTCCAGGGATTTTGGCTTCTCCTTATCAATTATGTAGCTCGTTTTTCGCCAAGGCGTCATAATATATATGACGATAAAACTAGATCCTACGTGTACACACTGACGAGGACGTAAAAGAACCCGGCAAAATTTATCCCATGGCTCACTGCGTGGCGTATGTCTAGCTGTTTTCATTACATGACTGGAGCAGAAAAGTAATACGTTAAATCCCATAATCATTTCCCTGTTTAATTTAGCACCAGATTTGTTTGGAACAATGCCATTTAAACCAGTGTTCTCTACAACGTCTTCTGTATACTGTAATTTGATGTATTTGATATTTGCAGATGGATGTGCCTCTGGTGAAACTAAGAATCGGTGTGGATTTTGTACTGGTGGATCATCAGGTAAAGCAGCTAACCATGGTGTTGATGATTGTAATGGAATGTGTACAAATGCTGCCAATTATAGAAATGCTACTGACTGTGCTGGTACCTGTAATGGAACGGCATATATGGATACTAGCTGTTCAGATGAATGCATTGGTAAGATTCTTGATCTATAAAGTTCATCGTCATTTAGAACAAGTGCATATTTAATTTAATGGTGCTTCCGGCCAAGAGTACTTGCAATTAGCCTGCCAGACCAAAACATTTTAAATAATAGGTCGAATACTAGTCAATAGTGGCTTCTACAAAGAGTTTATTTTTAAGATTAGTCAATAGTGGCTTCTTCAAAGGGTATTTCCAATTTTAAGATTATTCAATAGTGATTCCTATACAAAAGGCATTTCCAATTATGACATTAATCAATAATCATTTCTACAAAGGGATTTCCAATGATGAGATTATCCCGTGGTGTGTCCGTCTAAGAGCATCTTCAATTATAACATTAATCAGTATTGTTTGTACTCCCTCCCCACAAGAGTATCTTTAATTTAAACATAATTCAATAGTTATTCAAGCCAAGGACATTTTAATACTATTCAAGAATTATTACGGTTATTTTATGGTTCTTCCGTTCAAGAACTTAGATTATTCAACAGATATGCAGACAAAGGGTATCTTTAGTTATTTGGCGCTTTCGACCAAAACAACGGAACCCATAAATCTGAAATGTAAAGATTTTAAGGTTAAAATCAACTTTTGGAGGCCAAAACCGAGAATAGAAGTATGGACGTCAACGTCTGTGGAATTTCGAAAGAGTGTGCATGTGATGTCGAGAATTTTAAGAATAAAAATTAAGCAGTTAGTGAAAAATTCGGAAGCAAAAAACAAACTTAGTTGTGATTCTTATAAAGAATAATTGATGAAGACTGGTTCTTTGATTGGGTTTTTTATTTTGTTTTTTTTTATATATATTTTCAAGGTGGTAGCACTGGTAAGCCAAGCAACTACTCTAGAGATTGCAGTAATACATGTGACGGTACTTTTGTTTTGGATACTTGTAACTACTGTAGAGCACCATACAGTGGATTATATGGCAGTGAATTCAAAGACTGTAATGGAGATTGTGTCACTCCAGGTAGGATTTAATTATGTTGAAATAACATCAAATATTATATTGCGTTCATTTTGTTTTTTCAAAATTCCACAGATTCAGTATGGGAATATTTAATACAGAATAGTTTGTTCCGTGATTTATTCCTATCAGGCAGTTTGGCGTATTTATGTAAGAGGAAATCGGGTGGGGGGGGGTATGCAATCATCTTTAAATGCTATGCTATTGTTGAAAATGTGCGTAAAAAGGGGCGAATTGCCTGATGTTTGATCTTGTGGTCAGAATCTGGCTCTTGTAATTTGAATCACCGAATTAAGACAATAATTATTAGATTGTTAAACAATTTCCATTTCATTTTGAAGCTCAAGTAAGTTCAATGGCTGTAGTGAACGATTGTGGTATATGTACAGCAGGACAGACAAACAAACCTAGTTCAGCTGGTAAAGATGCATGTGGTGTGTGTTCAGGTGACAACTCAACTTGTAGTGATTGTGAAAATGTTCCCAACGGGTCAGTTTTAGTATTTATATTCTTTTTAGTTCACAGATATACATACATGCACAAAGAAATTATAGAATAATAACTTCAGTCAATTATAACGTTATTATCAAGAAACAATATGAGTTCATATTATTACATATATTTTATTCTTACCGATTTATAATATACTATTCAAAAAAAGTAGGGGATATTTGATTTTTAAGTGTTATTAAAGTCACCTAATGAAACTGACGAAGAAACAAATGACAAAATGAAATAAAGTTCACATTCATCGATTTATTCCAAATGATCGTTAGACTAAGTAAGGCACAGATTGACCATTATAAGGGTAAAATGATACCCGGGGTCAAACAGCAAAGTTACCACAGCATCACAACCAAGTCAGTAACGGGTAAATCCTCCTCTGTTTGCCAAACAAGCATTGATCCGACGTGGCATACTCCTAATGAGACGTCTAAGGTCATTTTGGTCCAGATTGTCCCATTCCTGTTGCAACGCAGCAGCAAGTTCTTGGACATTGGCAGGACGTTGTTGACGTTGACGTAACCTCTGTCCAAGCATGTCCCAGACATGCTCGATGGGGGAGAGGTCGGGACTCAGTACTGGCCAAGGTAATGTGGTGATGTTCTGTTGTTGGAGGTAACCTGTAACGATCCTGGCCCTGTGACATCTTGCGTTGTCATCCTGGAAGATGAAACGGCGGCCATGACATCGTGCGAACGGCACAGCATGGACTGCCAAGATGTTGTCCCGGTAGTACTGGCCTGTAACACGCCCTGCAACAACATGTAAAGCCGTTCTTCGAGCAACAGTGATGCCTCCCCACACCATTACAGAACCACCCCCAAATCGATCATGTCTGATGACGTTAACGTCTTGGAAGCGCTCGTTTCGACGACGCCACACCCTCCTACGTCTGTCCAAAAAATCAACAGTGAACCTTGACTCATCTGAAAACATCACATTGCTCCAGCGTCGATTATCCCAGTGTTGACGATCCCTACACCAACGACGTCTTGCCTGAATGTGATGATCTCTCAAACAAGGGATCACGCGAGGACGTTGGGCGCGAAGGTGACCCCTATGCAGTCGATTCCGAATCGTCTGGCCACTCACTCTCACACCAGTGTCTGTTTGAAGACGAGCTCTGATCTGATTTGCTGTGATGACACGATTTTTTAAGGCCAAGGTACGGATAAATCGATCCTGGGCTTGAGTTGTCGCCCTTGGTCGACCTGAGCGTGGTCTGTCCTGTACAGATTGTGTATCACGGTATCTGGACCATAGCCTGCTTATGACAGACTGAGAAACATTCATCGTCCGCGCACAACCGCCTGTGTTGTGCCGATCTGTAGCATGCCAAGGGCACGTAACCTTTCATTTTGGGTAAGCCGACGCATATCAAAATTTGTTTTCTGGTCACTAAAACAATTAAACTGATGTTTCCACCCTGGAATTCAATGCCACAATGACTGTAACATTCAAAGTCAGAGTCGTGCAAATCTTGGGTTGGACCCCCATGATGATCCCAAGCATCACCTGCATTCCGTGCGGTAGCTATTGGTGCGTTTGGGCGTCACATGTAACTGGAAATGTTTCTTCTGTTAGGTTCTATAGTGACTTTTTTCGTAGTCATTTGCATATTTTAGTATTATGCCCCCAAAATCAAATATCCCCTACTTTTTTTGAATAGTATATAACCTATTACCATAGGAACTTTTGGGTATGGCACTGTGTCAAGTGGCATGCTTGTGTGTAACATAGAGTAGGGTTACCCGCCCAACCTCGTGGGTCCCCCTCCACCCACACTGCTAATGACACTACATGCAAGCGAATTATGGAAAAACATTCTACCATATTAGTCTCGAAATGACCTAGTTGAGGGTAAGCCCCATTTCTCCCCCTCCCTTAGCTAGTTTACGTAAATTTCTTTGAATATAAGACTAATTTAGAAAAAGCTCTATGTTTCTCATTGCTTATTTATGAAATACATGAGGTGTGTATTGACAAGAAAACAAAATAAAATCTACAACCCTTTGTAAATACGACAATATAGACATCCATCAACGAACATTATTGTTCTAAGATATTGATAAATAAAAACCTAGACTATTATTTCTCTTGTGGAACAGTTATATCAAGATAAAACTATATGTAATTGTTTATAATTAACCGTGTGGAAATAGTATTATTGATTGAAATTTATGATAGAAAATTAGAACGAAAAATGGGGAACTAGACTGTGAAGTTTTGAATTTGGACTGGCAAAAATCAATCTGTGCAGCGAGGCGAATTAAGGTATAAAACTAGAAAAGACTAAACAAAGATAATAAAGTATAAAAACTAGGATGGAATTTTAATTTATAAAAAACTAAAATAGAATAAAACAAACAGAATAAAGTATAAAACTAGGATAAAATAAACTAAAAAAGAATAAAAGAAAACTAAAGGATTAATGCAGGATAAAGTATAAAGTATAAAACTAAGATGAAATAAAACAAAAAGATCAAAGAATAAAAGAAACTAGGATAGAATAAAACAAAAAGAACAAAATATAAAACTAGAATAAAATAAAACTAGGATGAAATGATAGGGTAGAATAAAACAAAAAGAATAAAGTATAAAACTAATATAAAATAAAACCAAAAGAACAAAGTTTAAAAATAGAATGAAATATGTCTAGGATAAATAAAAAAGAATAATGTCGAAAACTAGGATAGTATAAAACAAAAAGAATAAAGTGGAAAACTAGGATAAAATAAAACAAAAAGAACAAAGTATAAAACAAAAAGAATAAAGTGGAAAACTAGGATAAAATAAAACAAAAAGAACAAAGTATAAAACAAAAAGAATAAAGTGGAAAACTAGGATAAAATAAAACAAAAAGGAATACAGTATAAGACTATGATAGAATAAAGCAAAAAGAATAAAGTAGTAAACTAGGATAAAATAAAATAAAAGGTATAAAACTAAGATAAAATAAACATAACAATTAAAAAAAAAATCATATTAAACTAGGAAAAAGAAATCAGGAAGAATAAAGTATAAAACTAGAATAGAATAAAGCAAAAAGAATAAAGTAGTAAACTAGGATGAAATGAAACAAAAGGCATAAAATTTGGATAAAATAAACAACAAGTATAAGACTAGGATAAAATAAATCAGAAAGAATGAAATATTAAACTAGGATAAAATAAATCAGATGGGATAAAATATAAACTAGGATAAAACCGATGCCCATGACCTTACGCAATTTTCGTAAATTTCTTTGACCATAAGACTGAACCATAGACTTCCATTTCTCTTGTGGAAAAGCTACATTAAGATAAAACTATGTAATTGTTTATAATTACCCGTATGGAAATGGTAGTATAGATTAAAAGTTATATAGAGCGCAGAATGTCGAAAATGAGTTATTGGGGTAAGTGCTGGATAAAGGTACAATTTGCAGTTGTGAGTACATTTTGTGGTGGAGGATTTAGACGATTTTGTTTGTAAATCATTCTATCACATTTGATATTAAACAGTACAAGAAAAGTGTGTTAGCTATTCTAATTCAAAACAGAAGTGGTATCAAGTGTTCTGCAAAGTTTAGCAAAACCGGGGAGACACTGTAGAACATGGAGTATGGAACCGGCTGTTCACTAACCAAGTCGTCTCGGGTTTCACCACAGTTTTAGCCGAAAGAGTTCCTCAGGATTTTCCAGCCGGTTTCTCCTTGTCGGTGGTGCAGGACACGATGACCTGGCAGAACGGAAATCTAATTGTTGGATGGTGCGAAAAACTGTGGTACCGTTTATACCATTGACGCCTGACAGCATGTTAAAGATCTCCAGAGCACTCTGCATAAATCCAGTTGGCGCAAATAAGTAAGACGTAAAGCCCCATTTCACTTCATTTAACGAAAGCAAAGCGATTTAACAGAACGAAAGTAATGCCAGATACTTCAATCTTCCGTAATGCAATCAATTGTTTGTTTGAATATCCACGAGAAAAACTACTGAATAGCTTACACAATACTAATAATTGGTGAAAAAGTTTCAAGAAAATATAATATGCATTATTTATTAAAACATGCGTTCAATTCTGAGAAAGTTTCTCATGAAATATGATATACTAGTTCTTTTGTATTTGTTTACCAATGCGTATGTGATATCATAAAATAGTCATAGCAGAAGCTTTTGATGATATTAAATCTGATATTCGTTGCCATGCCATTCAATCAACGCTGTTGTTTTTGAACCACTGGTACTAGAACACATCACGGTACGTAGATATATTATATGTTCTCCAGCCATCCGTTCGTAAATGGCGGAAAGAAGTTAATTGCGTTCTATAATTCGTTTACTGTTTAGGACAATTATATTGGTAAAAAGACTTATTGTGTTTGTAGTGTAAAGACACCAGATATCAATGGCCAATGAGAAGCACTGTCTTTTTAGTCCGTATATTGATCTAGTGTTTGTTGTTATCGGTTACCAAAATTAACATTTCAATAACAAAGACAAAACATGACAATCTATTGATTAACTACATCCAACCTAAAAGCCTCCATGTGCCAAAGGGCTAATAGGCCTTTACTTTCCCCGTAGACTGCCCGTAGTGTCGCGTAAGGCGGGTTGTGAACTAGGCTTTAGGTTAGATGCCATCTTGATCTTAATACAGATGTTGATAGATACAAATGAGTTAATCATCCATAGCAGACTTATGTCACCATGATTGTAATCATTTTTATACCCCCACATTTTCATGTGAACGTATATTGTCGTCGCCCTTGTCCGTCCCGACGTCCGTCCGTCCACAATTTGTTTGTGGACACTCTACAGGTCAAAATTTTTATTCGATGTTGACGAAACTTAACATATAGGTCTATCTCCCAACGATCTCGTTTCCTTTCGATTATGGCATATATCGGACTATAACTTCATGGATTATGGCCCATGATTGTACGAAAATCACTCTTTAGCTTGTGGACACACTAAAGGTCATAATTTTCATCTGATATTGATAAAACTTGAAATACATGTTTATAAGCAAAAGATCTTGGTTCCTTTCGATATTCGCGCATATAACCTGAATTATGGCCCTTGATTGTACGAAAAATCGCATTTTCGCTTGTGGTCCCTCTAGAGGTCACAATTTTATCCGATTTAAAAAAAACGTTTGAATGTATCAAATAGTGTAAATAATATATGGTATATCAAGGTTGTGGGCCCTCTAGAAGTCACAATTTTGATCCGATTTTGATGAAACTTTATAACCCAGAGATCTTGGTTCCTGTCGATATCATATTCCTAAATCAATGGCCCAAGAAATCCCTCTCTGGCCATTGCCAGTGTGTCTATTCTTCCCGTTCAATCAAATATATCCCAAGTACAGCAACATGACAGCCCTTCGTTTAAGCTGGGGTCTTCCCTAAAACTTTGGACAGTGATTAAGGTATTCAAAACGGTGAAAGTATTGTTCGTCTCCATACAGTATTGTTTACATTGTATCCGTGTTGATAGAAATATTCTGCTATGCACTGGTTAATTGGGCATAATAAAATCGTGAGTCATGACGTAACGTTATGTAAACATATTTGGTCCAATTTGGAGCTCTGTTTAAAGCGTAATGATATTGTTACGCAGTTAGCTATTGGTTGTTAATCCGACTATTGACCAGCCATAATTTGGAACAGAAATTTGCTTCCTTTACAGCAGTGTTAAGTGGGATTAGCTTTAATGTGGACCTATCTTGCCTGGTAGCCACTGGTTGTCGCCTACAGGCTGCAATTCTTAATGGATCGTCTTATACCCAAAGAATTTTTGGGTAGAGCCACGTCCAATTTAATTTTTGTGTCTGTGTGTCGCCTACATGCTGCAATTCTTGACAGATTCTTTTTTAACTTTGCTTACCCCTTCTTTATACCCTAAGGATGACCCCTATTGTTTTTGGTGAATGCCCGATCCCCAGGGGCAGAACCACGTCAATTTTTGTCTTTGTGTGTTACCTACAGGCCACAATTCTTAATGGATTGTCTTGGAACTTGGCGTATGTTCCGACCCCCAAGGGACAGAGCCACGTCCAATTTTTCTGTTTATCGTATACAGGCCACAGTTCTGAAAAGATGATCTTGGAACATGACATATGTATTCCTCCTTATTGCCTAAGGACGGCAACTATTGCTTTTGGTGCTTGCCCTGACCCCTAGGGGAGAGTCACGCCATTTTTTTGTGTTTAGCGTCTGAAGGCCACAACTCTGAATGGATTATCTTGGAACTTGGTATACTTATACCTTATACCGTAACGACGGCAGCTATTGATTTTGGTGCATGGTCCGCCCCGCTTGGGTGGTGCCACACCCACTTTTTGTCAATATATTGTTTGTAAATAATCTACAGGTTGCAATTATTAACAGATTTGGATCAAATTCGGCATGAACCATCATAGAGTTGTACCTATTTATATTGTTCCATATCCAACCCTCAGGGGCAGAGCCACGACGCTCAATTTTTGTGTTTATCGTCTGCAGGTTGCAATTCTGAATGGCTCATTTTGGAACATTGCATATTTATTTCATATAACGTAAAGACAGCAATTATTTATTTTGGTGCATGCCCCACCCCCAGGAAGGTGGACTTATATTGCAGCGGTACCGATGCTCTTGTTTTATGATAAACTATTTTCAATCACACACTCTGCATTGTTCATGGATGTAGAGTATATAAACATATTATATTACATGTAACATGTGATAATTCCCAGGAGGTATAACGATAATATTGCGAAATATATACATCCTCCGTTGTCATGTCACGTTTTACATGATAAACATCATGCAAAATGTTTACATTGATTTCTTTCGGTGCAGTTTTTTCCTAAATGTTTTAAAATGTCATTAAAGGACCACAATCCTGCTGATTTCCATCTTTATTTTAATTTAATTTGGTTGGATTAAACTTCTAATGAATTTTAAAATTGATGTTAACTAACTCAGTTTAGTGTTCAGTTTGAAATTAGGATTTTCTGCATAGCTGCCGCATCACTATGCTAGAAGGTTGAATAGAAAACACCAACTTGCCCAATTTTTCTTCTATATGCAGACTTTTTGGATTGTTCGGAAATTTCAAGATATGTCAATGGCTTAAGGCTTGATATTATGAGAAATTAAATGGCATAAAATGTCATTTAATGTCCTAATTTACTGCACCGACTGGGCTAATGGAGACGGGCATACACCATACAGTGTGCTATAAGGGAAATTCTTCCCGCACAGCGGCGCTACGGTCTACTACTATTTCGAATTTCAACTGTCAACGGTTCTGTAACGTGCATGTCAAAACGAATATACGTTTTCCCTTAACAAATTTCAGGGTGTACATTAATGACAATGTTTTAATACTAGATATATGAATAAATTATTTTTTTAAAATATCTGCATTTTATAAATGAAATGTTTTAATACCGCTTAATACTGCAGTTATACCCAATGGTGTAGATAGTCTATGTATTTTTAGATATCTGAAAGAAAATGGCGGGCCATCATACACTTTTCCAAAGGGAAACCATGGCTGGAAAATCCCATGCTTAAACTTGGACCAAACCCAGGACCTCCGGGTTAGTGACCAAGTGTCATACTTACTCAGCCACTGATTCACTTTAACATTTTATGACTAACATATGTACTACATAACAAATATCTCACGGATACTATCTGGTCCATTGGTTTCAACTGAAACGTTTCGTGACACTTTTCAATTGAAAAATATCTGTTATTTTAGGAATGCATGAGCTCTTGTGTTTTAGAACTATTGATTATCAATAAGATGACATTATATAAACATAAACTAAGTAGAATTGTGTGCGTCACAAAACCATCTTTTACTGTTTTATTATGACTTGGATCATGTCAAACTTTATATTATTCAAATAGTTTTGGATTCCTCTCTCTATATTTTTATTCTGATTTGATTTTATCGTACTTACAACTGCATGTTTAATTACAGTGTTGTCTGAAGGTTGGGGGAAAGGCAGTGGTCTAATGAATGACTTTTATCTCTTTAAGTCACAGGTCGATCCTTGGGGAGTAAGGTTGCTTGCCTATCCTCACCAATTTTAAAGATCCTATCGAAATGACCCCCCCCCCCCCCACACACACACACACACCATCACACACACGCACACACGACACACACATACACGCACGCACATGTGTGTGGGTGGGTGCGCACGTGCGTGCGTGTGCACACACACACTGGAAAATCCTGCCCCTGCCACTACATATAAATACATCTGTAACCGTTCTTACAGGTTTAATGATTTAGCAAAAAAAAATTTAAATGAAGCAAAATATTTTTTTGGAGAATGTAGGATGTATTTTTTATATATTGGCCACAATCATAATTTCATCTTAATGAATTATTGGCATTTGTTGGGTTTTCAGAGGAAAAGTTATTGATGCTTGTAATGTTTGTGGTGGTGATGGTTCTACCTGTTTAGTGGTTTCCATGGCGATGCCAGATCATATACCATCAGCAAGCGAATCAGTGAGTATATAACTAATGCGGTTTCTAGTCAGTACAAAAGTTCCGAAGCCAAATTCTGTCCTCCAGTACACGACCTGTTTGTGATCTCAGAAGGACAATAACGTGTACGTTAGTACTATATGGACTAGTACTATATTCTTAATCCGAAAGAGTGATTGGGTGGCTTAAAGGGACAATAACACTCTTGCTGGCTTGAAAGCTCCAGAAAATAAATAATATCTCTATCTAAGTACTAGATGTTTAAGTGTCCTACCTGTTGTGTAAATTATCCATTACATCCTATTTTACTTGTCCAGAGGGTTCGAAAATATTTTTAAATCGAAGTTTCATTTGAAAAGGTTTACGTTAGACGTTTCAAACCATTATGTTGAATTTTTCAAAATTTTTAAATAAGGTGTGTTAAGGTGAAATTTGTATCATCAATTAATTGAAATACTCTAAAATAGTACAATTTGTTGACCAGAATAAAGATTGGGACACATTATTCAGTTACAACAAGAGTGGTATTGAGCCTTTAATGGTCTAAAATGTACACTAAAGACAACGGTCTGTCATTGGGTAGGGTGGCCTGCCAACCTCGTGGGTTTTCTCCAGGTCCCCTGGTTTCTTACCTCTGCTAAAGACCGCTACGCGCAAGCGAATTATTGAAAATATGTTGTTACCATATGTTAATTCTGAAATGGCCTAGTTTGTGTTGAGTGATTGTTAAACCCTATGTCTTTCTCTCTCGCTCTCTGTCTAAACATGAAGCATGATTGAAATTAGACCGCCAGCACAATGACTGCTTGAGTTATTTTAATATAAACATATCATTACTGTTTGTCCAACTGTGTGCTCTGATGTAATTTTTTTTTTAAGACTCTGAATGTAGCCGGTGGAGGTTTAGACAAAGCAAACTTAGAATGTTATGTAAAAACCTCGACTGGTCCCGAAGTTCCTGTTTCAATAACAGAAAAAGTCAATGCTCAAAATATAACAGTTACAGTACCATCCACTATAACTGCAGGTATACCACTTTATTTAGCTTAATACCACAGAACATGTCCACTACTCACATCACCCTATTGCACATGCACCAGGCAAGTGTTAGGGTAAGACTGTGAAATCCTACTATTTAATATAACAGAATGTTTGACAATCACAATGGGTTATTTTTCCAAACAAGAATAATATTTTAAGAGCATGTGTCCGAATAGCTGGAATTCAAAGAAGGCATAATGTATGTGATTATAACAGGAAATAAGGCACCTGTCACAGACAATTTCAGACACAAAATCAGGCTTTGTCATGCAGTGATTTGTCTTTTCTATTAATATTATTAAAACCTGTTAAAAAAAATACCAAGTACTAGTTTGTTATAGAGCCTGATATTTTGTCATATATACACCTTAAGTCATTATATCCAGACCTGGTGTCAATAACAAATTCAGATAACCTTTATATATGCTTCTAAAATAACAATTTGTTTCATTTCAGGGCAATACAAGCTATTCTGTCGGATTGCTGGCAGTACAGCACCGGATTCTAATGTGACAATTGTTGTCTATGACTCCACGGCAGTTGCACTAACATCCATTTCCCCAACCGAGTTTACGAAAGGAATGACAAATGAAACCGAAGTTTTAACTTTAACTGGAACAGGTTTTAGCGAAGGCAACACATTCTGTATGATTTCTGGTAGGTCAAATAAATGATTAAATTTCATGTAAACAGCTTTTAAAATCAAACTACTCACTTTAAAGGGACCATCCCTATTCTAACAGAGTCTCAGAACTAAAAGTCCATATATGTATGAAATTTAAGCACCAAAATATAGAGGAATGGTTATTTACCTTGTTTCAAAATTTAAGCTCAAACTATTGAGTTGTTTGCACGTGAACTTCAAAACCGCTTATCCGGACACGTAACCCTTTTAAGATTTCGGGTCAATTTTTTCGTTGGGTGACCTGATAATCCATTGCCGCTCTTTTAGAGAACTATACAGTGCATGGCGCACGTGCTTTACTTGATAACGAAAGGTAAATTTTACCTACGTTGTTTTTTTTATAAAAATAAAAGTCTGGTTTTATCCAGACACCGTGTAATACAACTTGGGACATCGGTCTCGATTTCTAGATAAAGACTGATGGGTTTAAGTTGTTTGAAAACGTATCACATATATTAAGTTAGTTGCTAGGCCCTAAGGTAGAGAATTTTAAGGGCCTTTAACACAAAATTAAGCAGTTTTATTCCCCAAAATATAATCGATATCGGCCCTTTAAATAGATGACTTTTACCAATGAAATACTTTGCCATCATCTTAATTGGCACAGAAAAGTAGGACGTTAAAGTAAAACCCTAACTGGATGTTGAAATATATTTGAAAATATATCACACTGATTCATACAAATGCATGGTACTAGAATAAAGGGTGTCAACTTGCCATTACACAATAGTTAACTATCTTCCATTCACCGACAACAAAGTATTCCGTACACATATTCATACGAATAACTGCCTGTTATTAGCTATTTTCCGTAATGAAACTACGTCTTTTAAGACTCCATATAGAAACTCCCATCTACAGTTGCACTTTCGCGCGATCTTGCTGTACAAACGAAGGCAGGTAATTATTGAATAATATTACTGACGTAAACTTGAAGCCGGTACGGGAATTAAACATAGAAAATTGTAAGGGCCACCTTATTTTTTGTACTAATCATAAACGTTATTCAGAAACCGGTATGCTACATAACATTAGAAATGTTTCTTAATATTCCCTTAAAGGGAATGGAAGCTTATTGATGACCTTATTTACTGGAGCGGGCAGCGAGTTCTGGTGACCAAATTCTGGACACTGCTAACCCCAACTGAAATGTTGGACGTACAAAATATTTAATTAGCATCCCTGGTTTCAAGAGCCTTCCACAGCAAATTAACTAGTTTTATTCACTGATAAATACCTAGGATTTCTCTGTTATAATTATTTCTTTCAAAAATCTTTTTAATTTAGGTCCTTCAATGAATTATATTGTCGATGCTACAGTAGCAAGTGCCACATCTGCTACATGTTCAGTCAACCATCCAGCAGAATCACAAGCTTTACAAGTCTCACTCAGTTTGAATAAAGTGGTTAAAATCGGTAGTCCCGTAACAGTCAAAGCACAGGCGTCTCCACCTACTGCTAAAGCTAAATTCACAGACACCGGTGAGTATATCCAGCTAGCTTCTACTGCATTGTTTTCAATCATTCCACTACAAGAGAGAGAGAGAGAGGGGGGGGGGTTAAAGTCAACTCAACACAAGCTATGTCATTTCGGGAATTAACATATGGTACAATTTTATTTCTTAGATTAGCTTGCTCATAGGGGTATTTAGCAATGGAAGGAACAGGAGGAGCCTGGGCAACCCATGAGGTTAGGCAGTTGCCCCTACTCCTTGTCATGTATAAGCATGGGATCAAACCATGCCACTTGACTCAATGACATACCTTAAAACATGAGCTGTAGACCATTCGGCAACACGGCCCCCTTTCACTGTAAGAAGTGGTAGCTTGTGCTCAAGATAGAATAACTAATATTCAAAATCAACGTTTGAATTCAGGAATTGAAGCTACTATAAATAAATATTGACTTACTGGGTAAGATGAAGGTATAGTCATGGGCGTACGAGCTCGATAAATGTTAGGGCGGTCCGGTCTACTGCGAGAGGCGAAGCGGCGGCGCTTACCGTACAGATCCCCCACCCCCCACCACCAGCCGCCAAAAGAATGGGGTCAATTTTAAAGCGATCTAATATACTCTAACTTAGGTGGATGACTCGAATACCAATCGATCGTTGAAAGTCCACGGAGACGGGACCGTCGGCAGAAAATTAACTGCCGTAAACTCGTTTTCCTGCTACAGCATCTTCAATGTGGCCCAATGTATCTTACCATAGGTGGCTGAGCTAAATCTTCAACAACCAATCAATCGTCTCCGAACACGGGGGCCTCGCCCTCCCCGAGATAATTTTGAAAATGCGTTTTTCTGATATTCTGACCCGTGGGTTAAGCAACTTCAAAGTTGTCCAACCGTTTGGCAATTGAAATCTTACTCTATGGCGACCCGAATTCCTGGCTCGTACCTATAGGTATAGCGTCTGCATAGGCTACGTAATTCCATCACAACTAGTCAGTGCATGTCAATATAAAGACTTACCCCCAAGCCCAAACTAAAAGTTTGTATTTTCTCTGAAAAGTATCACAGCGCTTTAGATATATGTTACACGTTAGGCCCGAACACAAAATCATAAGAGTAACTCAATTGGGTATTCAGGACATAGAAAGAAGGGTTCAAGATTGTGAACAACCCTTTTGCTGATAGATCTAGTGACAAATGTGTTCCAGAAAGATAATCATCTATGGATATAGAGCAGGGCCTTAACACTTTAGCACTTACGTCTGAAACTAACTCCTTAGACCAACCCCAAACTTGCCTGTCACATAATAGGCCTATATGTCGGGCGATTTGAGGCCGTATAAGACTCAATACGGTTTCGGTCTGATCAGGGATACACCAGTATTAATATACGTGTATCATTTTTCTCCAAGTGCTAAAGTGTTATCATGTATTCTTTTGTCTGAGGATATTCGCAAGAAGATATTTTTTCTAAAGAATTTAAAGATTTTTTGAATTATCCCAATGATTTTATATATATACTGAGATGCAATGAAAATGCAATGCAACTTAGCTGAACTAAGTTGTTATGACTGTAGATTAGACATTTATTTACACAAGAAAACAACCGACGGGGGCCATAGCAACGTTGCTTTACAGTGAGACATAGACACAAGGGAGTTAAATTCAAAAGTCAGTAACAGCATTGGGTCCACTGACAATGTAAGGCTGACTGGCACTCAGTTCAGGAGAGTTAACAGGTGGTCAAGTTCGCTTCCAATCAGTCAAGAAAGGCGGGGGTTTATTAATATATATCTTTTTTTTCTTTAGCCGATGCAGTATTTCTGGTATTTTGCAAACCAGTAGATATGTCTAATCGTGATGCATGTTCTGATATTTTTGATAATGCAACAGTAACAGCATTGGGTGCCGATGCAGTATGTTCATTCGTTTCTGGTACCACACTGTTCATAAGAGGATCTTCACTTAGTGTCGGTAAGTATCTTAACGAAAAGAATTTGCAAGATATATTGTAAATATATTGATTAATCTACAGATAAGAGGTGCCATATTGCTGAACTAACACTTCCACAGGTTTGGATTCCTTTGATTTCTCCAGTCAACAAAATGCTTTCACCATCTTTAGGAATATGAGCAAATGCTTTCCTCTGTAAATCGTAATTTTTTTTAAAGGGTGAGCAGAAGTTGGCTGGTTCACTAATTTTTGGCTTAATGTGACAATAGTCGAACACAAAATAGGTAATGAAATAGGTTTTGGCCAAAAATAGTCTTCATTGTCAAGGAACATTACCATGATAATGAACAAAGTGTCAATTTTCTGCTCTTCAAAGCGGCTATCTCAGCTAGCGACATCCTTATTAACGTGTAATGAAAACATGGTATATATTTTGTATAATTCACTCAACTTTCTATTGGTCCAGAATGTTGATTATGGGCTTGCCATGTAAATAAATGTCTAAATAATAATTTATGTAACACTTGAAACAAGAAAAAAGATCTCTAATGGGCAGATTTAGCGCCTGTATAATGTATCTTTGATAATAAAAAAATAAAAAAAATATTTTTGATCTGACATGTTGCGCCTTTTATAAACACACAGCATCCATATTTTAAAGGTGATAACGTCGTTCCTAAAGCAAATGCCATCAAAGAAGCAGGACAGGCGGAAGCCATCGCAATGACAGGAAATATACCGGTCCTTACAGCCGACAACCCGTTATCCCCAACTGTAACTATTATTGGACCATCGGTAGTAGGAGGGTGTATAGCCGACATTGTATTAGATGCTGGAAGTAGTACGGGTAGATCACTGACATATTCGTGGAGTGTTAATCCCACTACTACTCTTACAGGTACGTTGTTCATTTATTCATTTACACATAATGGTTCTGTTTATTAACAGAACATAACAAAGAAATTCTAGTGCAATATATAATTGAGGAATTATGTAATATATATTTTTATAGCCATATCAAATGATGTAAAAATAATGTGATAAAGAGAAAATAGTGTTCGGTTAAATGGTTTTAAACATGAGTAGAACGTGAATACTTTATCTGATTTTCTGCCAATTATATCAACAATAATCGTGATTTAAAGTTGGGTGTGGGGTGGTGACTAATATATAATTTATTTCAGAATTTTTAGCCCCCTCATTAAATTGAACTTGCCTGTTTTGCGAATCTAAAAGAAATATGAATCTCAAGAAATTACGGTGAAATGCATGCAAACAAAATAGCATACTGAGGTTGGCCTATAAGAATCTTACAAAATTTGGAAAATATGTCAACCCGTACAACAAAAGCTAATTATGTACTCCCTCAACAGGGGTGATAGTAGTAATTCTTTGTGATAGTAATAATTCCTAGTGCTAGAAATAATTCTTAGTGATAGTAGGCCTAATAATTGTTGGTGGTAGTAATCATTCCTAGTGCTAGATAGTCCCGAAATGACCTAGTTTGTGTCGAGTGGACGTTAAACCCCATTTCTCTCTCTCTCTCTCTCTCTCTCTCTCTCCCTAGTGCTAGAAATAATTCTTGGTGATTGTAGGCCTAATAATTGTTGGTGGTAGCAATAATTCCTAATGATAGAAATAATTCTTGGTGATAGTAGGCCTAATAATTCTTCTTTTAACATTTTAGCTTTTTTTTTTTTATTTGACAGGTGGGGAAACTAGTAAGGTAACCTTGGCCTCGGCAGTTGCCGGTACGACATATACATTTAGTTTAACCGTGACAAACTTTCTATCGCAAACTACTACAGTTACACATGTTGTACAGAAAACTGCTGTAAATACACCAGAACTCGTCGTCACATCATCGGTTGGACCTACAGTTCGGGTATCAGAAAGGTATTGTGTTTACTTATTATTCACTTTCCCAGCATATTAACTGAGAACATAACAAAAGAGTGGGGAGTAGCAGGACTTGTAGTATTTAAAGATCCTCACACTTTTTTAGACTCATGATTTTATAGCCTATATGTTGTGATCAATTAATTGTGATCAATTATTTCGGAACTAACATATAATATGTGTTTTACGAGGAAAGCATAATACCCAAAGAATACCATGAGTACTTCACAGACTATTTTGGAACTTACATGACGTGTTATGTGTCTTCAGAGGCAATCGGAATACATCTATTAAACCCATGGGGTTAGGCAGGCCGTCGTTTTCATTGTCAAATGCAAACCTTATGATCTTCAGCCACCCAATAACATAAAGTGTGTAGATGTGTTCTTCCAGCAAAATCAAGAAAAATGAAGACTACATATGCCATGCAATGTGCTGCGGGGGAAAACATTTCCCAGACAATGGAGCAACAGTCTTTTCTTTTATCAGATTCCAACTGTCAAGGATTTATTACGTGCACGTCAATATGTACCCAAGACCTCAAGTTTCCATCCCATCCGAACGACTATAAGTTGTCCTTTGTCAGGTCTTCCATCCTACACCTCTGACAAGGGGAAACCACACCGGAAAATCCATATGGATTTTCTCTGCAATGCAAGGATCGAACACGGGACCTCCAGGTTAACAAGCCAATGTCTTATTCACTTAGCCACCGTGGTTCCCAGCAGAATTCAGAGCAAGCGTATACAAATATATAATCTGATTTTTCTTTGTAGTTTTGATCTGATAGCTGACACTAAGTTAGTGGCTGGTTGTGTAGACGATACGTTATTGTATACTTGGTCTTTGAGTGATGATTTAATAGTAGACAACACCAAGAAATCTTATCAAAGATATACAGTCGATGCTAACACATTACCAGGTATTAATTAAATTCTCTATTTCTATAGATTATAAATACAGCTATTAGCAATGTAATTCATGGCTCCACGCATCATTGTGTAATATGGTATTAGAACTGTTTATATTTGGGAAGATTGAGGGAGAATCCATCAATGTTATCCCATACTCCCTAGTTCTAAATTGATGCATACACGTATTTTCAGCTGGAAGAACCCTTACTGCCACTGTTGTTGTTGCACTGGCTACTTCTCCATCAACAACCACAGAAGGAACTTATGTTTTTACTACAGAATACTCTGACTTAGTCGCACAAATTACAGGTATAATGATTAAATTATCCAAACTTTAGTGATGAGAGAGAGAGAGAGAGAATCAGTGGGAGGAAACCGGAGGACCCATAGAAAACCCAAGAGGTTGGACAGGCGACCCTACTCCTTGTCAACCGGGGAATCGAAACCACGCCAGTTGACTCAATGACAGACCTTATGATACAACGCGCACGTGCTAACCATTCCTGTAACTTGGTACAAGTTTATAGAAAGCTGATTAGTCGTTCGTCCTCGATTTCGCACAACCTGCATAGGTATTTGCATCTAAATATCCCTTACTTTCTTTGAAGGGTATATATGTGTGTCTCTCAAATTAAGGTAAAATGCTTTATTCAAACATCAGTTGTTCAAATTAAGGTAAAATGCTTTAATCAATGGTTCAGATAAGGTAAATGCTTTATTAATCAGATATCAGTGGCTCAAACTAAGGCAAAATGCCTAAATCAAACATCATCAGTGGCTCAAAAAACTTTTAGATGCCTAAATCAAACATCATCAGTAACCCATAAAAAAGTTTTAAATGTGTAATGTGCCAGAAGCTGAAAATGAAGATAAATGTGTTTTTTTTTTGTTTTTTTAAATTGTCCAATTGTAGAAGATACCTTGAAGCTTCGTATTTAAATGTGTGAGGATTTATAATGAGTTAGTGATGTCCATAAGCTTCAGACTTAACTTGCTTATATAACATTTCCATTCAATAACTAAATACTCAAATAGAAGAAAACGGGAAGGAAAATATTATTGTTGTATTTTTTTTTATATCAGGTGGCACTGAGCAAGTAATCGGTGTTAACAGTGGATCTGTCACGCTTGATGCTAGTGGCTCTATGGATCCAAACAATGTCGGTGATATGAGATATTCCTGGCAATGTTTTGACGTCACTGCCTCAGTCACTGTAAGTATAGCAATGTATTACCCCAAGTCTTTGAAATAGGGTGTAGATAGAGCATTATTTATTCCCATAAACATTGAGTTTAAAATGGTATCTAAATTACTATCTAAAATAACTCTTATTTTTGTTAAATTTAAATATGGAATAAGATTATTAGTTGCCTGGTACATTAAGGCTTCAAAGAGAGGGAGAGAGAGAGAGAGGGGGAGAGAGAGCGGAGGAGAGAGGGGGGTAACACTGGACACAAACTAGGTCAATTTTATTTCAATATTTCGCTTGCTCGTAGGTGTCTTTAGCAGTGTGAGGAAACCGGTCGACCCGGAGAAAACTCACGATGTTGGCCAGGCAACCCTACTTTTCATAACATACAAACTGTGTATGTTTCAAGGTTCAGCCATTAGCCATCCAGATAGTTCACTTCATGTTTGACTTTTATCGTTGTGGATAGTTCTGCTCAAGATTTCCTTTCAGCTATTAAAGTCCAGTTGATAGAAAACAAGAACTGTGTCTAGTCATTCAGATGGGATGAAATACCCAGGGCTTGTGTACACTTTGAAATAAGAGTAGACCGTAGCGCCACTGTCCAGGCAAAACTCCAACTGCTAAAGACCCCTACGCACAAGCGAATAAGTGAAATAAAATTGAACTATATGTTAGTCCCAAAATGACCTAGTTTGTGTCGAGTGGACGTTAAGCCCTATTTCTCTCTATTGCAGAACTTTAGGCCTGAAATGTTATCTAAATTATTAATTAGACATTAATTAACACAACAAGACCATTATCAACATTTGATGGCATCGGATACTCGATATTTTAACTAGATTAGAACGGTTTAATTTAAAAATAGAAAGGCGAGACCAAGTCTCGAATATACCAGTGCCCTGGTTACCACTATGCACACATCTTGTCAAAACTACAAACAGTGATAATTTGGCTCAAAATAAAGTAATTTGAATGAAATTTTCAATATTTTCTTTTTGTATCATCTTTTTTTGAATTATTATAGTAAGAATGACCAACTCTTTATTAAACTCTTAACTAATGCATCTTTAATTAATGTGAACATTGGCAGTTTGAGTCTATAATTTTATTTTTTATAGTTAGCACAAAATTTTTCATATAGGTTTTGATAAAGATAAGTTCAGTTGATCAAGCAAATGATGTAATTATGCTCAGGGAAACATTTGTTTAATGCTCGGTGAATTTATCATAATTTATGTTAATTTCTCTTTCCTCTGCAGAATGCTGGTGCATGTACACTCGCTGATGGCAGTAACCTTCCAGCAACCACCACAGATACATTGACCTTCAATGCTAACCAACTTATAGCGAACAGACGGTTCAAGTTTACTGCCGAAATTGTATCTGGTTCCCGAGTATCAAGGGCCAGTGTTTATATCAATGCCGTGGCTGGAAATCCACCCAAGGTACTTCTTAGCATCAATATTTAGTCCAAGCAAATAAATGTTTTTTTTATTAATACCTGACATTTGAAATAATCTGAACTAGCCGAATCCTATCCATTATGGATTGCATGCTTTGTCTGTTAGAGCAATATTTTGTTCCTTTACAGTAACCCTGATGCAAATTTTATTTAAAATTACATCTCGTTTCGTTTCTATAGTTCTATTCTTCTGCACTACGTAACATCTACCCAAAATATAAGATGTGGCATTTATAACAAAAGATTAAAAATACATCAAGCAAGAGCTAAATCTGCCTATTGCAGGTCTTTCTTTAGGCCTGAAATGTTATCTAAATTATTAATTAGACATTAATTAACTTATCCAGACATTAATTAACTTATCCAGACATTATTCAACTCTGGATGTCATCGCTAGCCTGCGATATTTACTGGATTAGGATCTGATTTGCTGCTCAATTTCCATTCATGATTAAATCATGAAATGGATAATCGAGACTATGTTTTGTATCGGTCTAGGTCGAAAATTCAATCGCTAAATTGTCGGTTCAGAGTGGATCAATTTGACTGAAATTTTCAGTAAATACCCTTTACATTATCTAGTTTTTCACTATTATAGTGATAACTGCCAGCTCTTTATCTAATCTCCCATAATGTATCTTTAAGAAACACAGATGGCCTCATCTGATTGTAACAACAATAAGTCAGCTTGTTTTGCTAGGGCCTAATTTCATTGGGTACTATCCACAGCAAATCATTAAATTACCGAATTGGTAACAATGTTTCAATGAATCAATTATTTGATATCTTTATTTTTCAGTTATCAATAAATGCATTGCCAAATGGTGGATATTTTAGACAAGCAGATACTGTTCCACTACAAGTTACGATAGAAATGCCAAATGCTCAAGCTTCTATTAAAGAAGTAATATGGATGTCAGAACAGGGCAATGGTAAGAATACTGATTTACATTCATCAAAAGACAGATTCTTTTTTACAGTCCTGTATGCACTGGACCACAATGGATTCCTGACAGCCCTCAGATTACTCATTTTGTATTAATATTCATTTTATATTTTTATTTTTTTGTATTAATTGATAATGATTTGTTACTCTGATTACCATTGGTTTCTGCATCTTTGTTGATAGATGAAACATTTTGTACTCTTTTTGTATATCATGGTAGTGATAAAGTAGCTAGGTGAACAATATTTTGAAACGTTTTTTCAAATTACGTTTTAGAACATTGTCATGGGAGGAACTTGTCATACCCGAAAGTTTAGACTGAATCTATAACTTATTCAACTGATTTCACAGTCAGGGTGTTTTCGTACTTATATATTTCTAACCAGCAGAAGACATGATGTACTCACCTTTAAATCCATAATTATCTTTCTGTTTTGCTGTCTAGGGGTTTGGTGGACGAGTGGTCTACACTTTAGATCATAAGGTCTGTGATGAGTGAAATGGTGTGGTTTCGATCCCAAGCTTGTGCGAAAAAAAGAGAGAAGGATCGCCTGTCCAACCTCATGGCTTTTCTCCAGGTCCTCTGGGTTCCTCCAACTGAATTATCAAAGCAAATTATCGAAATAGAAATTGTACCATATGTTAGTCCCGAAATGACCTGGTTTGTGTCACGGGAACTTCAAACCCATTGTTATCTCTCTGTTTTCTTCTAGGCTTCTTTTATTCATAAAGTAATATTTTTTTTTACTTGTGATATAGGTGAAGCTGTTATAGATTTATCTGTACGGTCTAATTTAAATATCGACAAAACAGTGGTTAATCTTGGTAATAACTTTTACGTAGCCGCTATCTCTATCAAGGGAGGTAAGTTTGCTCAGACATATTTTAATTGAAGACAACATGGTTAAAATTTTACATTTATATAAGATCTAAAATATAGTCAGAACGGCTGGCATTCAGATGACATGCTTTAGTGGCCATAAATAGATTGGTGAACTGTGTATGACGTGATTGACAGAGACACATTTTCATTGGATATTTATTTGCCAGATGTTAAAAAAATTAAATTTTGTCTGGTAAATACAGAATATAATCAAATGAAAATGGATAAAAAAATTTGTTTAAAAAGGTTTTAATTCCTATTGAATTAGACACTAATTCACAAAAATTGGAGTATCAATTTTTGATAGAACGGGTTTTGGTCTAGTCTCGGTCACCCAGAACCTCCTAGTCTTCAACATACGGAGGGTCTGGGAAGGTTGTCAATATTTGACGTAAAGTCCATTGCCCATGCGTAACCGGGAGTTTGGTTTTTAATGTGGTTGATTATCCAGTCTCTTTAGCCAAGTCAAGTAAGAGTTGCGCCCCTTCCCACAATAAATCCCATAATTCTTGCATTAATATAAACAAACATGAATCGTGACGACGAATTAGGAATAATTTTAAAAGCATAGATAAGGCCCATGAAGAGAGAAATTTTACAATAAAAAATTAAGAGTATTAGATATTGAACTCGCATGCAATCAAATGGATTTTTTGAAATGACATTCTTAAATTAATTTCATGGGCGTAAACATCTTGTTTTAAGAAGAGTTACCTCCCTTAGACATTGTTTATGATAATGTGAAAGACCGGATTATCTAGCCAATTTTTCTCAAATGTTGACAACCTGTCCAGACTAATATTCGTAGAATATTTTTCTGGATGATAGAGACTAGTTTTGGTCCCGAGCACTACTCATCTTATTGTTCTTCTTGGAGGCAACGCCCTCCGAAAAAAGCCTAAGACTCAGCCAATTCAAGTATAATCGGCATGTTACCTGGCAGGCTTGAAATGATACCACAATGAAATAATGCTCAGCTCCTGGTCCATATTGTACTAGTGAAATATTAATATAATTTATCAACAGTAAGTAAAGATCATCTAATTTGTCAGGAAGTGATAAATATTTTGGTCTTCTCGTGCACACATGATTTGATTCTAATGATAAATTTGGTTTGTTGTATACTTACATTCCTTTAATTTCGCACTGTATATTTATATTTCCAGGAGTATTAGAGAAAGGACAGAAATATCGTGTTAAAGTTAAAGTTATAGATAATTCTGATAATGAAATATACAGTAGTATAGAATTCCAAACATATCTCGGTGTGGGATCGTGTATTGTCCCAACAGTCTCCAATTATCCTGCACTTTCTGAAGTAAGATAATAATAATAATTATAGAATTACTTGCTATATACTTTATATTTACACAAGAGGTCCTAGTTTTTATACACCTAGATTTTCATGTGGGCATATATTATCTCCACTGTCCATCCGTTCACATTCGTTTGTGGACACTGTACAGGTCACAGTTTTTATCCGCTTTTGATAAAAGGTTTATATCCCAAAGATCTTTGAATGTATCGGACCTTAACTTCATGGATTATGGCCCATAAAAATCACGTTTTTATCTTGTGGGCACTCTAGAGGTGACAATTTTTATTCAATTTTGATGAAACTGCCCGACAAAATGTCCATTCCTCTTACGCAAATAGTGTAAAAGTATGTAATACCAAGGTTGTGGACCATCTAGAGGTCACAATTGTTATTCAATTTTGATAAAACTTAAAATATTTATATCCCAATAATTTCGATTATGGCCCTTGATTGTTCAAAAAAATTGCATTTTTAGCTTATGAACTCTCTAGAAGTCACAATTTTTATTTGATTAAAAAACGTTCATATATCACTGTTACACCGTAATTACATTTGAATTTGAATTTTTCAAAAATTTGACCAAAACCTCCCGTCAAAATGGCCACTCCCCTCTACACAAATAGTGTCAAAGCATGTAATACCAATGTTGTGGACTCTCTCTAGGTCACAATTTTTATCCAGTTCTGATGAAACTGAAAAAGCATGTCGGACTGTAATATCCAGGATTATTGCCCCTTATTGTACAAAAATCGCATTTTTAGCTTGTTCTCTATCCATCTCTTGCAAAATGAGGGCGTATCGCGCATGGCATCCACTTGGTACAGGGTGTCTTGAAAAAAGCCTGCAAATCCACCTTTAACATGTAAAGAATTGGCTGAAAGTTTTTGCTCGACAAAGCCAAAACAATTTATAGATATATATAACTGTTTGAGAGTGTTTTTTCTTTGAGTGACATGATAAAAATAATCGATACCATAAACATTTCCAATAGGCAATTCAAATGCAGGAATAATGCAGGTTTTCATTCCACACGGGTATCAGTAAAAGACACAAGATAACTTCTTCTTCTAGTCAAGAAGTTTGTTTCCAACCCCACCTGACAACTGGGTGTTGGTGTTCCTTTGAAATGATATCACAGAGCTTCGGGGTTGCTTGGAGATACAATCAAGAGTTTTTAAAGCTTGCATACACAATTAACCATTTTTATTCACTGAAATGTATGAAATCTGTGTGTGTGTGTCCGCAATTCTTTGCGTTTTGTTTTGAAACTTTGCATCCTTATTCCTTATACCCTAAGGATGATCCCTATTGGGGTTTTTTTTGTGCATGTCCAACCCCCCAGGGACACAGCCACGACCATTTCTCTTCGTGTGTCTGTGTGTCGCCTACAGGCCGAAGATCTTAATGGATCGTCTTGAAATTTTTTCATACATATTTCTTATACGCTAAGGATGATCTCTATTATTTTTGGTGTATGCCCGACCCCCTGGTACAGAACCACGCACAATTTTAGTGTGTGTCTGTGTGGCGGCTACATGCTGCAATTCGTAACAGATCCTTTTGAAACTTTGCATACCTATTCCTTATACCCTAAGGATGATCCATATCGTGTTTGGTGAATGCATGAGCCACATCCATTTTTCTTTGTGTGTCTGTGTTGCCTCACAGGAATCTGGTTGGACATGGTGTATGCATATTATACAGATAGAAGGTCTGATTCCTGTGGTTGCCTACAGGCCACAATTCTTGATGTATCGTTTTAGAACTCGGCATATGAATTCCTTATAGCATAAGGACGGCATCTATTGATTTTGGTGCATGTCTCGACCACCAGTGGCAGAGCCACGCCCACTTTTTGTGTTTTTTGCCTACATGCAGGAATTCTGAATGAATCAACTTGGAACTTAGCATATTTATTCGTTATACCGTAAGGATAGCAACTATTTATTTTGATGCATGTTGCTACCCCCAGGTGCAGAGCCACGCCCAATATTTTGTGTTTAGCGCCTGATGGCCACAATTATTAATGAATTATCTTGGAACTTGGTATACTTATTCCTTATACCCTAAGGGCAGCAACTATTGAGCATGATTCCCACCACCACCACCTTGGGCGGTGCCACAACCACTTTTTGTTAATATTTCGTCTGTAAATAATCAACCGGGGCCTTATTCACGAAAACTTAAACTAAGATACAATCGAAATTTTAAGAAATAATGCAATTCGATTGGCTGACAAGTTAAATCAATTTGCATATATCCAATGAAGTTGCAGTATTTCTTAAAATTTCGGTTGTAACTAGTTTTCGTGAATAAGGGCCCAGGTTGCAATTATTAACAATTCAACATGATCCATCATGGATCATGTTGAATTGTTAATAATTGCAACCTGTGTGTGTCCGCAATTCTTTGCGTTTTGTTTTGAAACTTTGCATACTTATTCCTTATACCCTAAGGATGATCCCTATTGGGGTTTTTTTTGTGCATGTCCAACCCCCCAGGGACACAGCCACGACCATTTCTCTTCGTGTGTCTGTGTGTCGCCTACAGGCCGAAGATCTTAATGGATCGTCTTGAAATTTTTTCATACATATTTCTTATACGCTAAGGATGTTCTCTATTATTTTTGATGTATGCCCGACCCCCTGGTACAGAACCACGCACAATTTTAGTGTGTGTCTGTGTGGCGGCTACATGCTGCAATTCGTAACAGATCCTTTTGAAACTTTGCATGCATATTATACAGATAGAAGGTCTGATTCCTGTGGTTGCCTACAGGCCACAATTCTTGATGTATCGTTTTAGAACTCGGCATATGAATTCCTTATAGCATAAGGACGGCATCTATTGATTTTGGTGCATGTCTCGACCACCAGTGGCAGAGCCACGCCCACTTTTTGTGTTTTTTGCCTACATGCAGGAATTCTGAATGAATCAACTTGGAACTTAGCATATTTATTCGTTATACCGTAAGGATAGCAACTATTTATTTTGATGCATGTTGCTACCCCCAGGTGCAGAGCCACGCCCAATATTTTGTGTTTAGCGCCTGATGGCCACAATTATTAATGAATTATCTTGGAACTTGGTATACTTATTCCTTATACCCTAAGGGCAGCAACTATTGAGCATGATTCCCACCACCACCACCTTGGGCGGTGCCACAACCACTTTTTGTTAATATTTCGTCTGTAAATAATCAACCGGGGCCTTATTCACGAAAACTTAAACTAAGATACAATCGAAATTTTAAGAAATAATGCAATTCGATTGGCTGACAAGTTAAATCAATTTGCATATATCCAATGAAGTTGCAGTATTTCTTAAAATTTCGGTTGTAACTAGTTTTCGTGAATAAGGGCCCAGGTTGCAATTATTAACAATTCAACATGATCCATCATAGGGTTGTACCTATTTATATTAGTCCATATCCATCCTCAGGGGTAGAGTCAGGTCCAATTTTTGTGTTTTTTGTCTACAGACTGCATTTGAATGGATCATCTTGGAACTTGGCATATTAATTCCTTATACCGTAAAGGTAGCAACTATATATTTTGGCGCATGACACGAATTAGAAGTATAGGTTTGTTTGTTTCCATAAAATGATGCTGAATGTATTTATTTGTGTATTTAGATTACTGTATCAGTGGTAGGTTGTGTAACAGATGACGCAGGTGGGGCATTAACGTACACTCTATACGCACACAAAGACACTACTGGTACACTTCTTAGATTAGGAGAAGATTCAGTGTCAAATACAGCGGTCATTCCATTTGCTCCAAAGGCCTATCTCCCATCTAACACCAATCAGTTTTCAATAAAGGTAAGTATGTCTCGCGAATGTCATAATCTGTGTGTGTTTGTTTTCTTGATCGTATGTAACTGTCCAATCCATATAGCCACTTCTCAAGAATCACCACACTTGAAAGAGGTATTAACGTTTTATGTCCACTCGACACAAACTATGTCATTTTGGGACTAACATATGGTTCAATTGTGTTTCATTACGTATAGGTCTTTTAGCAGTGAGAGAAAACCCACAAGGTTGTCAAGTACAAGTAGAGAACCAAAACCATGCCACTAGACTCAGTTATTGTGTATTTGGGGGTATAACACAATGGTGGTAGAACAAACAAGTTAATACACAAAATCATCTCCATTAATTGTATTCTGAGAACCACACAAAGACATAAGTTATTTACAGCAAAATCACAATCACATCTTATTCGCGCGCTTCAACGACACAGCGAGAAAAACAAAACTCCTGACTCGAGAGTTATCTTTCCTCAACCTCGATTTCGTATTAATAAGGCCATACCACTTTAATAGGCCAAAACATAATAAAATGTATGTGAATACATAACATCCCCGCCGGCAAAAAAAACAAAATAATTTTGTTTAAAATCCGATGATAAAAGATTTGTGTTGAGACTATTAGTATCTTGAAACATAATCAGGAGTACTATACATAACAAAATTGACAAAAGAAAGACCGATAAATGTAAACAGTTCAAACAAAATACAAAGAGGATAATAAAAGTGGACAATATTGGCAACAATGCCCTGAAAAATATCCTTCATAGCAAGGACATTAAAATATATACATGTATATTCTTTAACACCTGAGTTACATATTGTGTGGGAAAACAACAAGAACATGGACATATGAAGTTAGGTATAATGAGATAAATGGATGAATAAGATAACATGCCATGTAAGACAATAAACATTACTACATGTATTGCAATAATAACATTTACAAAAATTAAATAAAATAGACTAAAAGCATATCCAACTGGGATATAAGTAATACTGTCTTACATGCACAGTATATATATATATATATATATATATATATATATATATATATATATATATATATATATATATATAGGCCTACATGTATAGGTAACTATAGAAAATAATCCTAGGAAGATAGGTTGCTAGACAACATGTGAGCGTATATAAAAAAAAAATTAGACATATAAGAATATAACATAACACTGCATAAAAAAAGTCGTGCATATGATATACATACAGAAGTAAAACAATATGAGTAAATATACACATGTTTATCACTAAATGAATGGTGGTGGTTTCATTTGAATTGATAATTTGGCACGATGGTCTAACTTAGAGCCGGAGACCCAAAAAGCCTGATCTGCTGGTTCACCACGAATTTGAACAAGATATTCTGGTTTCGCCCCTTTAAGGCGTTGACCTAACACACGTTGGATTTTATGAAAACCACCATCAGAGTCACTATTATGCGAAATACTACTACAGTCCACTGCTGCATCACGAAATCTAATAGGTTTACGTCTGGAACGCACACTTCTACGAACACCACTTTGGGAGGGTTGAATGTCTTTTATTGGAACAGGGATTCGTGATCTACACATAGTGGGACTTGAAGAGTCACGTTGAATATTATGAGAGTCTTTACAAGGTGTAGGTAACCCATCTGTAGTAATGGGCTGACTTAAAGTTTGGTTAGGCTGTAAAATACTCTCACTGGGTAAATCAGAGTCTGACTGCTCTGGTACAGTCTGATTAATGTTTGTGATAACACTCCCAGGAAAATAAGGAGAAGGGTTAGGTGACCTGATATAAGCCAATTTAAGACGATCACAATGGACATTATGAATAAGTTTAGAAGAAGTTGGATCTTTAAGATCGACTATATGGTCACTACAAATAGTATAAATAACATAAGGGCCTGAATATTTATTTTGTAATTTCTGACCAGGACCTTTTGGAGAGACATTTAAATAAACATAATCACCAACAACAATGTTTAAAGGGTTAATTTTAGCATTAACTCTATCACACATTCTAGCATGTGCTTTAATAGCATTATTTTCAACTTGCTGGCGAATGACGTTGAGTTTCTTAGATTGATTATTTATAAATGTCTTAATATCACTTGGTATAGTTTCTCGAGAACTATCTGAAAAATTAGCTAAAGGAAATTTTGGACCCATGGAATAAATGATTTCAAAAGGTGAAAACCCCAAAGATGAGTTAACACAATTATTCATGGAAAAAACAACTGCAGGTAACATATCAATCCAGGAACAAGGACTTTTTGACACATAAGGAGTTAACCGCTCAGCCAAAGTTCTGTGTAAGCGTTCACAAGCTCCTAAACAGTGATGCATAAAGCTAGGAGTAAATTGTTGAGGTATTGACAAAAGTTTACAAACTTCAGATGTACATTTAGAAATAAATTCTCTACCTTTATCACTTATTAACGTATGGCAAACACCATAGTTAGAAAATAAATTAAAGAGTGCTGAACTAACAGTTATGGAATCAGTATTAGCAATTGGATAACAAACTAAAAACTTACTGAACATATCAACAGCGGTGAATACATAACAATCTCCTTTAGGGGTTTTAGGTAAAGGCCCATAAAGATCTACTTCCCAAACTTCAAATGGAGCATGTGGTGTAGGATATGCAACAATGGCTGTTTTGGTGTGTGCTTTAGTTAACTTTCTACTTTGACAAGCATGACAAGACTTAACATAGTCAGAGACAAGGGTGCTCATTTTAGGACTCTTTAATAAGACTCTTTAATGCGGTCAACAGTATCCCCCCATGACCACCTAAAGGAGAATCATGGTATAAAAGTAAAAGTTCTTGAACTAGACATAAGGCACAACAAGTTGATAACAATTTAAAGTTTTGGAACGTTTAGATATTGCAGTTCTAGAATGAAATAAAACATTTTCAAAAACCATATAATCTTTGGCTTCAACAATTAATCGTCTAGATTGAGACTGAGAATCAGGCAAAACATTTTTAACAAGATAATTTATAATATGCTTTAAAAATGGATCACTCGTGTTCGTTGTTTGTCATCTAACTTGTCCTTAAAGTCTGACTCTGGATGGATTTGATATAGCATATAACCGATACCAAGACTGGAAGTGTCGACACTTAAATAAAATGGTAGGTCATAGCGAGGAAAAGCTAATACTTTGGAATTTAACAATGTCTCTTTTAATTTATCAATCGCTGATTGATGCGATTCGTCCCAATTATAAGACACATTTTTCTTTAATAAACTGTGCAAAGGAGTAGCAAGAGCACTATAATTGGGAATGAATTTCCTAAACCAATTTAACATTCCGAGAAATCTGCGCAACTCTTTGGGAGTTTTAGGAGTAGGATAATCTTGAATAATCTTCACATGATCGTTGGGTGGGCTTATGCCGGCAGCAGATATTTCATGTCCCAAATATTTACACTTTTGTTGAGCAAAAGCACATTTTTTCGGGTTAAGTCTTAAGCCAGCTGTACGTAATCGATCAAAAACAGCTTTTATATCCTTGATATGTTGATCGAATGTTGAGCTATAAATAAGGATATCATCAAGGTAGCATAACACAGAATTAAATGTCAAACCGTGTAAAATTTTGTCCATCATAAGCTGAAAAGAATTTGGTGAGGTTTTGAGGCCCATAGGAAGACGTAAAAATTTATACGTTCCAAAGCAAGTTGAAAATGCTGTATAATTAGTGGACTCTTCAGACAATGGCATTTGAAAAAATCCACTACTTAAGTCAATAGATGTTATATAATTAGGTGTTGTAGTAGTAAATGATTCTGTTAGCTCTTGCAAATCTGGGATAGTGTAGTTGAAATCTTGTGTCTGAGAGTTGAGGTAACGAAAGTCAACACAAAAACGATATTGTGATAAACTAGCTTCTTTTGAACCAATAGGGTATTCAGATTTATCAACATTTCGCTTCGAAACCAATACTATAGGACTGGTTATAGGTAGATGATCCTTATTACTAACTTGACATATAATACCCTGCTTGACAAGCTCAGCTAATTGATGGCGTAATACTTCCTTCTTATCAGGTGGTAAGCGATAAGGTCGCTGATGTTTTGGTTTTGCATCAGGGTTCAAATGGATTTGATGTTCAACAATTGAGGTAAGTCCTAAATCAGAATTTTCTGAAGTAATGAAAATATCTTGATATGAGTACAAACAATCCATCAAGACAGGTAATTCAGCAGGGCTGACTGTGGTATTGGAAAAGTTGAGACTGTCAAAAAAATTGGGATGTGAATCATTAATATTATTAACAAAAGGTGGTGTGTTATTTGTTGATTCATGAACATGAGGTGAAGCAGGATCAGTACTAGAAAGAATAGGTGTGACTTTGGAGGAGTCATCGAATATGTTAAAGTCAGCTAATGCACATCCTTTAAAAAGGGTTATGGGGTGACTGGTTAAGTTGAGTACTTTGAGAGGAACTGTTCGATTTGACGACACTAGGCACACACTTCGAGATCCTAAAACATTCTTTCGGGACAATTGCTGATGAGGAGTACACATGCCTTGAATACCATACGACAAATGTTGTGGCACTTTGCCCCAAATAACAGTTTCTGTATTGCTTGGTAAAACAAGAGTTTTGGCACATTTCACTTTATATGAGTTGGATTGACTGGAAAGAGCACCAAAATCTAATTTAATTCTAGCCGAAACCATAAATGTAGTACCTAATATGATTGGTTGTGACAAAGTTTCTAACACATAAAATAAAATGTTTCTGTGAAAACCACAGTTTGATGAAAATGTTAAATAAGTACTGCCAAGTACTTTTACCTGTTGATCATTGGCTAATGTAAGTTGATGAGTATCGGTTGTAGTAAGTGTAGATTTACTGGTAACTGGTAACTTGGTGAATAGATGAGAAGAAATAATATTGACAGAACAGCCCGAGTCCAACAATCCAACTATGGTCACTGGGAGGCCTAGAGTTTTAAATTTCAGTGGTAGATATTTAAAATGGTTTACTTGGGGAGCACTGGAGCTTGAAGCTGTAGATTGGCAGAGCTCAAGGGCTTGTGCTCTAGAGCCCTTGAGCGGAACAAGTTTCCCGGCTGCTTTTGAAGTTTACAACAATTAGCGGAATGACCGAATTGTTGACACGTAGAACAGCGAAGATCCGGGCGGATTGATCCATTATGTGTCCAGTTACAGTTGTGGGCGAAATGGCCAACACCATGACAAGTTTTACAAACTTTAGATGATGGTGGGTAAGTATTGGTTGGTTGCTGTACATTGGTATAATGCGTTGGGTGTTGGATTTGGTGAGGGCCTTGAAATGGCTGAGAACGTTGTATGAGATTTGTCAAATCATTAATTTGTTGTTGTAAAAACTGATAACTGTTACCGGTACTGGTGGGAGGTGGCTGAGAAAAATCAGGAATTGGTATGTGAGGCGGTATGACGTTTGGTTGAATATGGCCTGGTGGCAGCTGAGAATTGGCAAAACTGTCCCGGTAGCCATAGGCTTCACCCATCTTAGCAGCATTGTAGGCATGTTCAAGTGTTGTAGGTGTTCCGGCTCTTACAAAAAAAGCTAATTTAGGAGGTAAGCCCGATATAAACTTTGACATAAGTTCTTGATCATTCTTGTGTAAATTGGCTGACTTCTCAATCAAAAAACTTTGGTATTGATCTATTGACTGGTTGGCTAGTAAATAAAAAGGCTGGTGGAAAACTATGGAATCGGCAAAATTGACCTTGGCTGTATATTTGGAAGTAAACACCTTCTCAAAGGACTGCCAAGAAAGTTTAAAAGCAGGAGGTAAATGTAAATACCAAATACGGGCTGGACCTCTCAGCTGTAAATGGAAAGCAGCAAGTTTCTGTCGATCTTGAAGTAAACAAAACGAGTCAAACTCTTCTAAAAAATATGTTGGGTTTTCTTCACCGGAAAAGGTTGAAACCATACTGATGCCATGAAGTTTTGTTGGTAAGCTAGAGGGAATTGGTACTTGGTTATCAATGTGTTGAGTTGAGCGAACAGGAGTCAGTAATGGTGGCCCAGTTGTCAGCGGAGATGGTACTGGTGAAGTTGGATACATGGCAGGTGTCTGTTCAAAATCATTAATATACGAATAGTGGTACATCGGTGTGGTCGACATATTTACACAGGTAGGGAAACAAGCAAACGATAGGCAGGTACTCAACAATGTTATAAACAGGATGACTTGATTGTTGGCCTTCAAAGGTAGGAAATGGCAACACCAAAAAACACGTGGTTTCATTGAGAAATTTATCATTCAACAGCAGTCAGCAACAAGTTTTAGCATCTCCACCATATTGTGTATTTGGGGGTATAACACAATGGTGGTAGAACAAACAAGTTAATACACAAAATCATCTCCATTAATTGTATTCTGAGAACCACACAAAGACATAAGTTATTTACAGCAAAATCACAATCTCATCTTATTCGCGCGCTTCAACGACACAGCGAGAAAAACAAAACTCCTGACTCGAGAGTTATCTTTCCTCAACCTCGATTTCGTATTAATAAGGCCATACCACTTTAATAGGCCAACACATAATAAAATGTATGTGAATACATAACACAGTGGCAGACCTTATGATCTAAAACTGTCATATTAGACCACTTCTCCACCCCACCCCCACAGCCCGTCACCAATCCATGTAAAGAAAACGGCTATATTATTAATTGTAGTTCTATTTAACACTTTAATACACTACACCTATTGCTCTATGTTTTTAAGCTCATTAGATTGTGTATTATTCTACCTTGTTTTATTGTGTAGGTATGTGCTAGGAAAGGTGGGTGTATGATGGCAACATCTACAGCGGTAACAGTGACAGCGTTGACGGCAACACAGATAACAGCCAAGAAAACCACTGTTATTAATAAAATCCAAGAACTAACAAAAACCTGTAAGTTTAGTTTTAACATTTTCATTTGTGACTTAATACAAGTTCTATGCAGTTTTCAAATGTATGAATAAAGAAAATATTATTAATATCATGTAATAACCAGGCTGATAGAACTTGAATAGCTATGTGAAACAGTAGATAGTGTCTGCTTTCTAGGTTGTTATTTGAAATAAAAACCTAAGGACGGAACCTGCAGGTTGCATTTCAAATAACTGGAAATTTACATATTGGCACAAACTATAAAGACTACCGCCAGGTATTAGTGCACTTGTGACTTTGAGAATATCAATCATGGAAATAGGTCGCTCTCTGATTTACATAGACACAAACCGTAAAGAATATTTCGTGATATTGGTGGCCTTGTGACCGTAAAAATATCAACCACTGCTTACCTTGTGCACCTGAAATTCAAAGCATGTGGTTATTGGAAGTTAATATTACCTCAACATCAAGCCTTACATAAGGCTGATATGGGGATGAAATCAAATGAGGTATAACGTCTCACTGTTTTAAACTGACTGGGTAATGAAAAATGGCATATGCTATGCAGTGTGGTCCGTGGGAAATTTGCCCGTACAGCGGTGCAACAGCCTACTTTTATTTTACGTTCACGCCAACGTGTACATGTGACCTGGTGACTAGATATTGTTCTTTGCCAGACACTGCGTCTTGCACCACTGACAAGAAGAAACTACACCGAAAATCCTGAGGAACTTTCTCAATCAACTCTGGGTTCAAACCAGAGGTGTTCAGGTTCGCTAACCCATGTGTCTTACAAACTGAGTCTCCGTAAATTTATAGACATGCTGATATGTTGCATAATTATGTTCAATAAAACAGGGGAGGGCTGATTAGCTCTTGGCTCCTTGGGTACCCTTGAGGCAAATAATATATACGTGACATGAAAAAAAAACTAGCTTGATTTACCGTTTCCTCTCTGCACTCCGAGGCCCAGTCCGCCCGTGTAATAAAATATAAGCGTCATTAGCATTTACGTTCGTATATAGCAAATGTTACTGGTGGACATGTTGACATCTTTTAATCACTGTCTTTACTGATTGATCAAAAGTGTTTTAAAACGTATTCTAATTACAGCAAACCCCCTGGAAGGTGCTGTTGTGCTTTCAATCTATATGACATCGTCAACAGCAAGTACAAGACGAAAACGAGACGTTGCGACAACAGATCTTCATACACTTATGTTGGATCTTGTCGGTAACACTCTCGCCAACACCACTAAAACTGAATCAACGGTTAACACACTACTTGATGTTATGTCCATATTAAAATATACAGAAATGAGTGAAGCCGATCTGAACCGAGTGGTCTCCTACTATCAAGAAATTCTAACCTATCTAGAAGCCAACAGTCTACAGTTTAATAAAGACCGAGTAGTCTCCTTGATCGTTTTTGTTAGAGATATCAAAACCAGATTTATCATATCCTCATTCGATGAAGCCATTAGGAATACTATAATCAAGTCATTTACGTATGGTGACTTTGACAGCTATGTTGTACCTGCGTCTCATACGATGAAAATCAGTGAAGAATTCCCCAGTGCCAACTATACTACAGGCCCAGCCTCAAACCCAGTTGCTGTGAATTTTGGGACAACTATCCTTGAACAGTAAGAATATATACACTTTGTTAATTGCTCTGTAATGAAGAAAAGGTATCTTGATTTCATAGATTCTGCTGACAGTCAGTATTCACACTGAGAATAGAGAGAGTATAATTTTATATTAATAATTTCCAGCCATATATGGGTCTTTATCAGTGGCGGAAACTGGTAAACCCGGAGAAAATCAACAAGTTTGAATAGGCAGCCCTACTCCTTGTTACGTACAAGCAGAGAATCGATCAAAGACCGTATGATCAAAACCGCACACATTAAACCATCTTTTGGATCACAAAATTCTTTTAAATGATACAATTCCAGAGCACTTGAATAATGTCAATCCTGTACAAATTTGATGCAATCAGATATTGTGATGTTGAGTAAGTTAAGTTACACAAAAATTTGTCATTTCTCATATTTTGCTGACATATGTAGATGTAAGAAAAAAACTTTACATAAATTTAATTCTGGTTATATATATTTGTTTTTGTCGGTAATACCACAAGCACAGTACATAATGATAATGTTGTTAGTTAGTTAATTGTCTGTTGTAGTTTTTTATCGAAATGATGTAAATATAGACATGTAGTACACAGGGATATAAGGTGATCTGAGAACAAATTTTTGAAGTAGAATATCTGGTGGAATGTGGTACCACACAGGGAGATAAGAGGACCCGAGAAGACATTTTTGACCCCAATATTTTGTGGAACTCTTGTGGTAAACAACACCACAGAATATAATCTGGTAGAATATACTAACAAGATGATAGGATAAATTATTAATGTTCCAGCAAAATAAATATAAAATGTTTCATAAATTTTTCATGGTCCAACCCTCCCACACCCTCCCAAACCTTGCCATGTCTAGTTTTCTGTACTCTGCTCTTTTTCTGTACTCGATTCTTTTTCTGTATTTTATAGATATGATAGTTGGACGTGTGGGTCCAATACTTGTAGTGGTGTTGCTATCCTGTCCAATCATTATGAGACAAACAAAGATCCCTATTCTACGTTAACATCAGACAAAAATGAAAGGTCATCTGACATTATAGATGTAATCCTTGTAGACCCACTTACTGGTACGTATAGCAAATTCTAGAATAAATCATGTGTGCTCATTGGACTAAAGACCCCCACATAAGCAACTGGAAATGTGCAGAGCACGATTCAGAAATCTTTCTGGTGGCTTCAACCTTTCCTGGATTATTGTTCATGATCACCAAAAGGCTGATTTTCAAGACACAAGTCTCCAAAAAGGTGCAGAGTCCAATTCAGATATCTTTCTGATGATTTCGACCAATCCGGAGTAATGTTTTCAGGCTCACCGGAAAACTGATCTTTGATGTACCGCAATAGACATAAAAAATTGACATACTCTTTCTTGATTATGGATGGGTCATACAATGCTAAGTGAACACCTCATACCACAGCTTTGGCCACTGTATTTATTCCCTATTCTACGCATTTTGGTGACAGATCGTTTTGTCTATCTCTACTAATATATTATTATTATTATTATTATTATTATTAACATTTATAGAGCGCTATCTTCCACAAAACGTGTTCAGATGCGCTGTACAATACAATTCAATAAAATATGTAATAAAAATAAATATACATATAGGAAAACTAAATAAATCTATAGAAGTAAAACATAACATGGTAGCGCAGAATAAAATCTGATATCACTAATAGGTTTTAAAAGAATTATAAGTTAAAGGCTTTCTTAAACAAAAATGTTTTAAGAAGTGACTTAAAAGAGATTAAATTTGTACAGCATCTTATATTAAAAGGTAAAGAAGTCCATAATTTCGGTGTCTGGACGGTAAAAGATCGATCTCCAAAAGATAAAAGTCTTGCTGATTTATTTACAAGTATTTCCCAGAAGCCCAAGGTCTTTTAGAGACATAACCGATGATTGCCCTGAAGCCAAGGTGTCAAGACTTTACGATGATTTTTCGCATCCCAAGGTCTTTGAGACCTAACAATGATTGCCCGGAAGTTTAGGTTTTATAAACTTTACGATGATTGCTCGGAAATCAAGGTCTTTAGGATCTTACAGATGATTACCATTGAGCCCAAGATCTTGAAGACCTTGCCAATGAACATCAGATCTTTAGAAGACTTTACTGACTCGAAAGGGTTCAAGTAATATATTATTTTGTTTATATAGGAGCTGTTCTACCAGCTGTTACCAGTTTAGCAGTACCTGTCAGATTTGTTTTCCCCCTGACTAAACCTAAGTCTGGTAAAAGCTATATGTGTAAATACTGGGACACTGGAAGTAGTTCCTGGAAGACAGATGGTATGGTTACTACTGGTATGGACAGTTCAACAGTGACTTGTACCTCAAACCATTTAACTAGTTTCGCAGCCTTCGAAACAGGTAAGTAATAATTGCTTTTTATACGGTCATATTGAACTGTAAATAAAGTGATCATCAAATTGATCATCAAATTGATACACAATTGATTTGAAATTGATACACAATTGATTTGAAATTGATACAATTGATTTGAAATTGATACACAATTGATTTGAAATTGATACACAATTGATTTGAAATTGATACACAATTGATTTAAAATTGATACGCAATCGATTTTTACGATTTCCAATATCGCAAACAACCAATTACTAGTACACATTTTGTATAATAAATGTTAGCACAAGGAAGATATAGAAGCCAATTAAATTTTAATTATTCTGATAATTGCTTCATGGGTTGTTGGCCTTGATCATGCTGCCATTAAATACAAATGACTACATGTGTGATAACCTGTGTGTACTGCTCTGATGACCTAGCTGCTATGACATATGTTTCACTGCCTGTAACACACAATAAAATGGAGAGTAACGATCCTGGTATAATCTAAAGTGAATAGAATTATCTTTTTGGGGGCTTTGTTAGCAATGGGGGTCAAAATCAAATTAAATGTAATTTAGGGTGGATCATTCTTGATTGTAGTGTGGAAGTTTTGATATGACCAGCTTAAAGTCTGTATTTCTTATGCCCGTATTGCTGTCATTACAGACGTGTGATTTTTGCCCCCAAAAATTGTATAATACAATAAAAAAAAGCGATCTGTTTTACAGACCTAATGCGACATCCGTCTTTTATCTCTGTCCAAGATGACTGACCTTTAAAAGGTCAGACCGCTGTAGTTCTAAGCGTTACGTCACATCACAATGTTTACCAACAAAGCAAGATGGCATCGATAACGCCAAAAAAGATTACTTCTGTGGCTTGTTTTTGTTGTTTTAAAACAAACACGAGCAGGTCAATCAGATTAGACGGTAAAAATGTACTTCTGAAAGAATTCAGAGTAAACAAACAGAAAAAAACGTCAAATTGATGGTCACACGTGCGTTGTTTACATCGAACGTAGTAATATGAACTGGTACGGGCAAAATTATATCATTTTACCCATTTTACGCCTCCGCGTACTATTTTCTGTACCTATTTACGCTAAATATGGAATATTTTTTATCAAGATATACTTCAAACACCTTTATTTATTTTTCTAATACTAAAAAAAAATGTTTCAGAATTTAATTTGTCGAAAGAAAAAAGTTAATATTTTGTAGTCATTAAGTCGCATCGATGTCATCCTTATCAGTGATTGTAGCGGCCAAGCGAATATTCACTGCGGATCAGTGTGTAAAAAAAGGTGTTTGAGTGATAAGGTCAACATAGAAACACATTTATACTACATTTCTGCCAATGGCGATGAAGCGCAGTAATTTTGAATATCTGCAAAGGAAGTAGTATTTGGAGCAGACAACCACCCCTCCTATCTCATTAAATGTTAGAAATTCAACATCATTAAGGATTTTATTAAGAAGTATTCTACTTCTGTGATAGAGTAACCTAACAAAAATAAATGTTCTTATTTCCCGTATTTTTTTTTTATCTTTCAGCGAGTATTGACGAATCAAGTAATCTTGGTGCCATTATTGGTGGAACCATTGCTGCCATCGTCATCGTTGTTATCATTGTGATTATTATTGTTGTCGTTATCAAAAAGAAAAAGGAAAATAAAATCAATTCAACAGAAAATTTAAGAGCAGCAGAGCATGGTGGTAATTAAACAGAGCATGGTGAGGGAGATATGTATCAGGTGTGTTGTCCGTCCATTTTAATGTCCTCTAATATTATTTTTTATTTGGAAATCTAGTTTATAAAATAAGTGAAATAGTAATGGATTGTTTTAAATACATGGGTATATATTTATATATTAAAATTCTGTTTTGGGTTCTCTCGAATCCATAATTCTTTGAAAGACATCTGCTGGTTTATGGAAACATTTATACCACTATTTAACAAATAGTTACATTTTTGATGACACAATATATACCGTATAATGCACAATTTTTCTAACATTCTTATAAATTTCATGATTGTATATTTAAAGTGAAATGTACAGTTACTACGGTACATAATGTTTAAATATTTGAACTGTGATAAATTAATGTATTATCAATACCCATATTTAAGTTTGACTTCAATTTGTGTATATTTGTGTATACAATATATTTTAATATTAATGATCTATTAGAGTTTGCATCTTCAAGACTTCAGAAAATTTATACAATTGAAAATCCGTTATTTCTGCAGGGTATAAATTACTAGGGTGTAAATTCGTTTTCTAATTACTGCTGAAAATAACCAATTTTAAGAAAATCAAAATATATTTATTTTTGTGATTACATTTTGTGTACTTGTATATAGTTGCTTATATTTTATGTGTTTATAATGAAAGAATCTCATGCAAAGCAGAACCGACAAGACAAACCTGTGGACAAGAAAAACTACACAGACATTGCAAGAAATAACATTAAACACTGAATCAAGTTATTGGCTCTGGTTTCTGGTCATATTCCCATTATTTTTACCCTTTTTCGACCCAGTTGAATGGATTTGTACCAAAAAAAAGACATTGACAAAATACAGCGGTCCATCAAGCATTAATTCCATTGACAGAGAATAATTTATTATAAACCAATGATATTGAAAATTAACGATAGTCACAGTAACTATAGGGAGAATTTGTAAACCTTATAGACACATTTTTAAAGGTCGTCAGATTTTCAATTTATTATCTGCCTCATGTGACGAATCACACGTATATTTATAACATATTGAATGTTGCATAGGCTAATTCAAAGTTTTATCTTATCCGTCCAAATAGGAGAAATATATATTTTAAAGCATACTTCTATTCCTTTATTAATTATATTTTTGCATTAATACCTAATTTGATTATGATTGTTTCACACACAATGTGAAATGAGTTTTTTAGAATAAAAAGAGCGAGAAGATTTAAGGGGTGGTGGGATTATAGATTTACGATGGTTTGATCATATTACCAGAACAAATGAATGATATTGTAATAGCAAAATATTTTGTTAAATCTGGAGCCTTAAGAATGTGAGTTTTTTTTAAGAATGAAGAGCGAGAAGAGTTAAGGGGTGGTGCAAGTATAGATTTACGATGGTTTGATAATATTACTAGAACAAATGAAGGCAGGGCCTTGAAGAGATTTATTCCCAGTCATTCTAGAAATCGTTTCTAGAAGCTAAAAATTATTGGATTTCATTTTTATCTGACTTAAATTTCGATTATTTCGCTCGTTAATTATAATGTAATTTAGCGTAAAATGGAGTTAATCTGTAGTTCAAAAATAATTTGGTTAGGTTTGATATATTGACATCAATTAAGTTTCTTTAAGCCATTTCATTATTGTTTGAAAGGTTCTGGCTCCAGTAAATTGAGAATATATTTTACTATTTCATGCAATATAAAGGTGATGAAATAAAGGTGGTAACTCTTGTTATGAAGCCCTCTTATTTATGACTGTATATAAAATATATATATGTATTACCTGATTGGGTGGAAATTTGAAAACCTCGTAAACTTTTAACGAAGAATAAGAAATGAGAAGTGATAAAACTGACTGTGGATAACTCAAACCTAGTCCGTCTGATTTTGGAGTGTTTGAAATAATGCCATATAAAAAAATCCTGGTTCTCAGATAATCCCGCATAACCCGTTTTTATAAACAGTCATTAATTACCGCGTGTAAATGTTATACCCGGTTACAGCGAGTAGCTCTAAACAAATATTTGAATGAAGCCTGAAATGTGACATAGGCTCGTATATCAAGTACACAACCCTGATAAATGACAATCATAAATGATACTGGATAATGTAACAACACTATTATAGTGATAACAGAGATCAGTTTCGGTTTCTTCCTCTCTTCCTCCCGTCTCTCCGTCTTCCGGTCTCGTCCTCGTCTTCTAACTACTGTCAGCAAACGTATGGTTGTATACATTTCAACAATAGGGAAAGTTGATACAAACGTCTTATAAGGTACTGGACGTACACACTCAAGGTCATTATCATAAATGGAGTTTACAAGTGATCATATGAATTCGCTGACTGGTATATGTGTACATAGGTCATATCTACAGTGTCAATTCATATGGGATTAATTAAGTCTTTAATTACAACACAGCGCGTAAATGTTTAGAACAAGGTGTGTAGTTGAATTGAAAAGCCAATATCATATATTATCAAAACCAGCTGGGGGTCAATAAGTTCACTGCATCTCAATAATAGTTTTTATTTTATAAGATAGAAAGTTTTATGAAAGTTATTGAGCACTAGCTTTGTCACAATAATCACACATTCCCGTTTAAACAATGCGATGAGATACATGTAGTGCCTTGAGCTGAAAAGTAATATTATGAGAAGTCATTTAACCCAGTAGTGATCCTTTGGCAAAATGAAAACACAAAAATAAAAACCACCCTTCTGCATCAGATTTTTTTTGGGGGTAAGGATTGTCTAAGAGCCAGAATATTTTTTTGTATGGCCTAAATGTAATCATTTTATGAAATCTGAAGAATTGTTTTTATTTGCTTTATTCATGAATATTCTATACCTGTCTATTTTCTTAGTTTCAAAGTATTTCAGGGTGTTTATTTGCTAACTTGTAAAAAGTCTTGATCTTTGATAGGTTTTTTTTTAGTATGTATACACGTTGTCATGGTCGACCAAGAAACTTATTATGGTGTACTCAAATTTGAAAACGATAAAATATTTTAAACTTGACACATGTTGTGTTGAGGATTGGTAAATTAATATCTGTAGGAAAAGAGTTTATTGAAACGTAGTCGTGATTCATGAGTTATAATGAGTTTCTTGGCCTCCCAGACATTTTAATTTAAATTCGACAAAATCAAAATCATTGATTTATGATGATGCTATATTTACTATATTATATTTATATGCACTGGTTAAAAATAAAGTTTAAAAAAACCCAAGATTTTATCATTTATTTATTCTCTCAAATTTTCACGTTTAGTCCTCTCCACTAGATTTCCTTGATGGTCCAAAGTGGAGTTTGCACAATATAACTCGTGTACTACCAGCTAGTAAACTGTTTGCAATGGTCAATTTTTGATAGAATTTGTGGCATCTGCAGTGTTGATGTATTTAATACCGCCAATACGTCGCAACTGGAAGTAACACGATCTACACAGATGATCAACTTGAGTCTCTAAGGTAAGACATGAATCAAGGACCACGCCAAGATCCTTATCCATACTAGAAACTTGAATGGTGGAATCTCCAATGGTTACACTTGTTTCAGATAGTTCCTGTAATCGTTTCTTTGTTCCAAAAATGATTGCTTCTGTCTTATCAACATTTAATTTTAGTTTGTTTGGTCATCCAAGATTTTATATCCCGAGAACATAAGGTTACGGTGTTACGAGCATGGGTGATCTGATTTGTCTTGAAGGATGACACAAGTTGTGTATCACCAGCGTATGAAAGGTGATCGATGCCGTGTTGGGATATAATGTTAGCCACAAATGACGAGTAGAGGAAGAATAACATTTGACCTAGAAGCGATCCCTGGGGTCCTCTACATTTAAGGATAACTGGGTCAGATTTAACATCATTTATTATAACCTGTTGACTGCGATTTTCAAGGTAGGGCATAAACCAAGTATGTGCACTTCCTGTTATTAGGAATTCATTTCTGAGGCGACTGGAGAGGATTTGTTGATCCACAGTATTAAAAGCTGCCAAAAGGTCCAATAGAATAAGTGCCGTTACATAAACCCTATCCACAGAAAATCTGATGTCGTTTAAGACTCTTACAAGACTAGTTTCTGTGCTATGTGATGGACAGTGGGCTGACTGAAACTTGTCCCAAAGATTGTTTATCGAAAAATGAGAAGCAAGACTTCTGTTCAGGATTGGAATTTTGAATATTATTTACCACATCTTGATGTCCAATTGGACATATTCCTGGTCGGAGGTTTGGAAAATAGCTTAGGACACCTCCGGCATATACGGGCGAAATAGCATTCATTAAATCCAGTATAATCCTTAAAATTTATTGCTTGAATGCGGGTTGTGCCAGTTATAACCACTACATAGCTAATTAACATTTATTAATGGATTCACTTATGGTTTTAAAATTTGTTCTTCCTAGAGTTCCTGTTTTCAGATGTCATATGGCAGTCTTATTCGCATGATCCTTCTTATACTGGAATTTGCATTCAATGCTCTTAACATGCCCCTGTCCCACAATGTTATACTGATTGGGCATTCGTCTGAAACTACAGGAGATACATTTTGATGTTTCTCCACTAGGTCAACACAGCACAAGTTGTTTTTTTTTTTAGAAATCCTGACTATACATACTTGTCGATTCTGTATGGTTTTTTTATTTGTGGATACAATACTGGCCTGCTTCTTGCAAGTCCATCTTTCCACCCCCATTTCAGAAGACAGAAAAGCTTAAATAATATACCATTATTGTTTAACTTCATATTATGTCCACCCTCTTAAAACTCTAATTCGAAGACCACCAAATCAATTGTTTTGTCAAATCAAGTTAATTCGAAAATGATATTTTTCACTGACCATTCAGAAGAGTCACCACCTCTTAAAACCCCCTTATAATTTTGCATTAACTCTATTCGTCTGCAATATCAGGTATTCATTTTAGAACATGGTCTACATTTTATAAATGAAATCAGGTTTAACATACTATTTTTCTGTACCGACTGGGCTAATGAAGACGGGCATACGCCATGTAGTGTGCCATGGGGGAAATTTTGACTGAACAGCCTACTCGTATACTGAATTCCAACTGTCAAAACTTCTTTTACATGCACACGGGACTTCTGTTGTTATCATATCCCAACTTTCTCGGGCAACACCAGGAATGAACCCCCGTTCTCGAAGCTAGCGAGCCAGCGTCTTTACACGCAGTTTACCAGTCTACATTTTATGAGGGTCTTAGTTCTTGGCTTTATAGACACCTGCTGGCAAAGTAAGAAACAAAACAATGCATATTTTGTAGTCGGATTAGAAGTTTAATGTCTTCTCCAAATATATACAGAATATATATCAAGTTCTGCTCATAAAAACTGTTACAATAACATACAAAACAATTTTTCTGTTTTAAAAAAAAAATGACAAAAAGAATGGAATTTAATTGTTTTCTAGTTCATTGATATTATATTTGTTTTCAAAAATTGGTAAAAATAATAGAAAAATTTTGTATTGCATAATTCAAAATATATCTGACAATTCGAAGTAAGTAAAAGCATATAAGATAATAATTCAGCAACCATAGTTTATTTTTCATCAATATATTCATACTTTTAAAAAATATTCTGTATTTCAATACTTAATGCTACTAATTCTGAAATACTATGGGTGATAATTATTGCATTGCAGACAACAAACTAATATATTTCTATAACTAGTGTAAACTACCAAAAAAAAAATGTATATTCACATTAGGTATTACAGTGGTTCTATTCTACCACCTTATTTATTGCATCAGCATACATTTGAAAAAACTAATTCCTATACATGTTTTTTAACTCATCACAAATACAACCTACAGTAATTCCAATTTTATACAACTATATTATTGCTCAGGGCAGTAAATGTAAAATAGCTTTTTAATATCTCAGCAACTATATGAATGAATATAAAAATTCATATTGCATGTTCACAACACAAAACTATCTTAATAAAAAATAAAATTTAGTTAAGTACAAACCTTAAAAAAAAGTTTAGCAATGAAATATTCTGTAAGCAGGTTTCAATAATTCATCAAAGTTAATTATTGAAACAGTCGTAAAAAATGTTTTTGAACTGTTTTGTTCTGAATGCGCTTAGAAACACTCTGTGATGAAGCACTATATAAATCAAATAATAATAATAATAATTGCATTCAATCTTAAATAAACTTTAAACTTTTTTTCTTTTGAATGAATTTTGAAAATCGATATGAGATGAGATCAAAAAAAAAAATTCATTAGTTCTTGCCATTCAATTAAATTCTATATAATTAGTTCAAACTTTTTAAATATTTTATCCATTTTTTATCAATTCGTAACACTTAGGGTCACATGATCGCCAAAGAAAAATATTTATCTATATGTGACAAATACCAATACAAGTGAATTAAATTCACAGCCATCAGTCTAATATTTCAATATTCTTAAACTGATCTGTTTTACATAAAACTTACTTTATTTCATTAAGCATAATGTAAGAGAATATTTAAAAAATACCTACAAATGAAACAATTAAAGTTTATGAGCTAAGTAACTAAATAAATAAAGCCTCTTCTATATATATGTACATTAGGATATTTTTGTGTAGAGAGGTTGACAACCAAATTCATCTTATTATTGCATTTTCAGGTTTATTTAGATTCCCTTCTTCACATTACAAATAATAAGTTCATGTACACTGAATCAATGCCATTTACAAATAATATACATTATGTACATTTATATTTAAATATAAATATCACTATAATGTGACCAAGTAAACTGCAAATTCTAATAATATATATATTGTTAGAACATATTATTGCTCTCAAATGAGGGTAAAAACCACTCTAATTCCTAGTTATATTACAGCTTTACAAGTAATATGGTGTGGATTAAAATAAAAATAATCTGGAAATTCATATTTTTCTAAGATTTTCTTAATCTGTTTCAATTTTGTAGAATTTGTAAAACCATAGCATTATTACTTTACTCTTGACAATTTCTGGACATTTTTCCTTAATCAACCAATACAATTACCTATTTCCTACATGCACTGCTTGCTGGACAATTAATTAAGGCTATATAAAACCTTTGCATGAATAGGAAAGAAAATGCCATTTGGAGTGAGTGATGCATCTTGATTGTTTCAAATAGAAATGGTGAAATATTTACAACCTTGTTAATATTTACAAGTATCTGTTCAATATAATATTAGCACTTAAAACCCCTTTGTTCTTCATGGCCATTCTATATATATTTATATATGTATATATAGTAGATTTATATTTCTTAAAATATGATCCATCAGCAACAAACTATGTATAGATAGTAGATTCATATTTCTTAAAATATGATTCACCAGCAACAAACTAGGAACTTAGGATTGTTGTATGTACAAAGATCATACTCTGGCTGTATTGACTGCCATATTTATTATATATTGGGAAATGTCGATAACCTGAAATACAAATCATATCAAAATGAAATGAAATGGGGTTTCACATCCTACTGTTCTGTTCCGACTGGGCTAATGAAGATGGGCATATGCCATACAGTATGCCATGAGGCCAATTTTGTCCAGACAGCTGCAATACGGCCTGCTCCTATGTGCACGCCAATGTGTACATGGGACCTTGGATTTCTGTCCCATACGAATGACTATACCTTCCTCTAATCTGCACCATTGACAAGGGAGAACCACACCGGAAAATGCAGATTAACTTTCTCAGCCCCACACCGGGATCAAACACAAGACCTCCAAGTTACTGACCCAACATTCTACTCACTATATTAAAGTGCTCCAAATTTGCTATATAAGCTAAATACATGTATATATTGTTGTATTCTAATATTCTATTATAGGTATGGTATCTTCCCAGAGCTTAGACATTTATTTTATTTTTTTTTAAATTAGTTTTATCTAGAGTAGACATAAAGACTTGGAACTTACCTTCTTGCATACTGTTAAAAGGTAAGCAATAGTAACCAATAAAATCATCTCTCCCTCTATCTTCATCTTTAACAACAAATCTCACCATAGCTAATTCTGGTACACGCACAGTAAAATTAAATGACTCATACCATCTTGGATTTAATCCTGAAAAACACAAAGACAAACAAGACCATAATCTACTGTTAAGAGATAATTAGCGAATTCGAAAGACTATCATACAAAGAAAAATATAAAATTAATGTTCTAACCTTTTATCACTACACATTATTTAAAGACTTCTTTAAAGGCATAAGGAAGGACAATTTCGAAAATTAAAATTTAAAATTTTACTGGTCTAAGTTTTCTCTCATCATAGCTTTGACTTTTAAAGCATGTGATTAACTTTGACTTCTTAACACTAAGCTCTATAGCTAGCATATGACATTTAAAATTCCAAGAGAAAAAAAATCACAAGAGTAAATTTTATTGGTTGGAGCATTATATTTCCAAATGATCTATGTATATCCACTGATCAACGGATATGTAATTAAACTTTGCAAATTAAAGGAATATCAATTTTAACTGAATAAAAAAAATGAACGTCTTACCATTATTATCAATAGCTTTTGTTCTTGCTTCGTGATAATCTGATGAAACGCCATGTATCTCTACTTTGACAAATGGATCTATAATCTCACCACGATCAGAATCTTTAGGTTTAGGTATTTGATAACCACTAACAATCTGTTATAAAAGGCATAGTTATCTAAAATGGCTAGAAATCTTTGATCTAGGTCAAAAATAAAATTATCGATTCCATTGGGATTTGTGTTTTGATTTGTTGTGAAAGATGACAATTAACTGGTCTTCATTGAAAATTTGATATGCATAGATAAAGGTTATGTCGAAATGTAATCAATTGTGTGTTCCTGTGTCGACACAATACATATGAGTCAAAAAAGAAACTAAAATTGCTTAATTGGTAAACAGATATCTGCTTAAAAATATTTAAATTATTGAATCACATAGGGCTTGTCCTATCACTAATCACTAGTCAAACTAACAATTTTCTTTAATTGACCTACATCAAATAGGTTTATCACCTTTATCATATAATGTGTCCCTGCCTCAATTTTGAATGTTTACAAAAAGGATTTGTAGCAATTCTATAGAAACCTAATCGATAAAATTGAGGAAATAAAATATTAGAAATATTTACTTACTGTAATCCGTAAAGTCTTTGTATTATTATTAACAACAGTACCATTGACAATACCAAACATTGCATCTATTTAAAAAAAACCACAAATATTTATAAACACTATCAATGATATAATATTTCAGTTAATAAATTTCAAAGATGTGAATATATATAAAAATGCACTGTCAAAATATCCAGAATTTTTCTTTTTTTTCTCAACCCGATATTTTGAAATGGCTATTTCAAGTAACAATATTACACATATGGCTGATATATACATATCTTTCAAACTAAATATTCAACTCATTTTATTAATATTAATCAATAGGCCCAATACATTATGAGATAAAAATTTAATTGCATCTTTAGAGTGTTTTTTTGTTATTAATTTCTAACTGATGATACAGATTGTGCAGCACATTTAAACACAGTAATATTTTTAACTGTACTGAACTGTTATCATTTGGAATAATAAAATCACCCTTTTGTTACAAGTTGATAGCTACAGCTTAGTAAGGTATTATTTGTCAGCAGTGATAAATATGAAGTTACAAAAAGAAAGCTAAGAATGAAGTTCAATGTCTCATCAACACTGTTAAGGTTATTTTGAGATTAATGAAAGTTGGGAGTTATTTGACTATGGTTATGTGCAACAAGCAAAGGACAAGAATGAGTCATATAGACTTTTACAAATTGAAATTGAAACTGGGAATGAAATCCTGAAAGCTCTAACTCTCTGACCAAAACCAAAGATGGGCTAGTTGTAAGTCTAGTTCCCAAATTATCATCAGTTTCCAAAACAATTTAAGCAATTAATCAGAAATTGTAAAATAGCTGTTTCAAGATTAAAGAAGCACTATAATAATCTCTTTTCTATGATTTCATAAACATTATCCTTTGATATTTAATATCAACTTTTTACGAATGTTTATATCCCATTATCACCATTATTTGTTATAATTGATTAACAAAGTAATTGTTATCTCAGCCCTTAGGTATTATACTTCCACCAAATGTTTCTGCATAAAGATCGCCAAATAATGACCTGACGTCCTTACCTCTGTTGTAACCTGGTTGAAATGGGTCATTTCGAGGTCGCATGCTGTGAACCGTGGCTTTGGGGAATTTGTTTGAAGATGAACCGGTATTCTCACCTGATAAAAGGAAGTTGGGCTTTAACACATAACCCGTACCTCCATTATCCAAAAATCTTCCATGATTCAATTGCATAGGTTCACTTCCTGTTTGGTAGTTCAATGCAACTATTAATAAAAAAAAAAGATCATTTGTAATTATATAATTCAATAGTGTCAATGCTATCATTAGCTACACAAGTCACAAAATCAGTTTGCAAGCATTACAAAGCATTGAAGTTTATTCAAAAATTACATATACAGAAGGACTATAAACTGATTTGCAGAAAAATTACTTTACAAATTGGGGTCAGATGCATTTTTTAATTTGATAAATCTCCACTCTCAACGGTTGCACCAAGCTACTCCTTTGTTGAAATACTGCATGCAGATGGTCAATCGATAGCTGGCTTCCACATTCGTCTTTTTTTAATAAGATATGTGCTTTTTATTTGACAGCCTGTTATAAATTGACACACATAAAGATATCTATAGAATGGTATTTGTATTACCATAATATTTTAAAAATTTGGGAGGAAGATCCATTGCTGAACAGATGTTTTGTGTGCAAACTGCAAAGGTTTAACGCATATGCATTGGATCATATGGTCTTTCATTGAGTCAAGTGGTTAGGTTTCGATTCCCCTGTTGCACGTGACAAGGAATAGGGTCGTGTTCCAGTCTAGTTATTTTTCTCTGAGTTTGCAGGTTTCCTTCTACTGCTAAAGACCCCTACATGCAAGCAAATTATTAAAATAAAATTTAACCATCATGTTATTCAAGAAATGACCTAGTGTCTGTTGAGTGGGTGTTAAACCCAATACCTCTCCCTCGCTTATGCATACTACAAATCACTCCGAATAGTGGTGAATCGGAATTAATAAAAATTTGTGATGATTTAGTAAAAAAAATCAAAAAGATCGTAGAGAACCTGTAGTAGTTACGTAGCAGTTACGAATAGTTTACGAAAGAGTTATGAAAATTCGTGGGTAATCAGGTGAAAAATATGCCAGATATCAAGGTAGAGTTCTACTAAATGAAAGAATCATCTATACAAATTAAAGTGATTCAATTACGAATGAGTTACAGATATGCAGAACTGCTTACGAATATGCAGAATTAAGTGATGAATAATGTCGTTAAAGCTACGAAAAGTTTAAGATAATTGGCACTAGTCATCAAACAATCGAATAGGAAGCTGTTACGGACAGTAAGAATGGGTTACGACAGGTTTACGATACATCTACAAATTCCATAATTCGTAGATCGTCCATGAAAGTTTTTGACAAACCAAAACTTTCGTGGTCGAACTACGAATTGCTACGAACAATACAAATGTGTAAGAACCAAATAAGAATCACTCACGAACTTCAAGAACCGTCTACAATTTATCTACAAATTGGAAAAAGATTGGCTTCGGGTCGATTCATGGCATTCGTAACCCATATGAAAACTGGCCAGAAAAGGGTTTGTTTCAAAAATCACTTACAAACTTCAAGAATCATTTCCGATTTATCTGCGAATCGGAAAAATTTTGGATTCGGAGCAATTCATGGCATTCGTAGCCCATGCAAAAGCCAGGTATAAGATGAATGATTAGTATCAGCCTGAAATCATAGTAAAAAATGAAGTATTTTAGGGTAGAAATCAACACATAAAGTTTAAAATATCCCTTACCTACTTGACAGCCTGCATTCCACATTGGTACTGGATTATAATTACTAGAGTCAGTACGTGAACCAGCAGGGTAAATGCGCAACAGTTTACTATGACTTAATAAATTTACTTCACAAGCTTGTGTCTGTAATAATTTCTCTATCTTTCCTTCTACCAATGAAAATATTACAAATGCTCCATCTGCAAAACAAGTTATGATAAATCATCTTTAAAATGATTGAATTCTGATAATAATAAGAGAGCATACATGTATATAATAATTAACATGTACCCGTATATAATTAAAAGTGAATATGTAGGCTATTTTATCAGAAAGAATATACAAAAAATCACAATAAATACCTTCTGCCATTGCCCTATCTACACCTTTAAAACTAACACTTTGAAGGGCAGTAATATCTGACATCTCCTTCACCATTTTATGTTTGGACTTTTTATCTTCTGCAGGAGATGGTATATTATTATTATTTTCTGCAGACTCATCTTCATCACTGACAACTTCTGCTTCAGGAAACGGTAGTCTTTTTCCCTTGTAAAAAAAATGTGAACATTGTTAAATCCATCAAAACGTTTTCTTTTTATCTATATATAATCATATAATCATATCTCTGCATTAGTCTTAATTGCTACATGATTTCTTTGCTACAAATTTTACCTAGTACTATATTACTGATACCTTGTTACAGGCTGGATAATACCGTGTTAAAATAGTCAAGGACACAAAAATTCAACATCCAGTCTAAATGAAATAGTTTTTTGCACTGACTGGGGTAATGAAGACGGACATACACCATACAGTGTGCTGTGACGAAAATCTTGCCCGGACAGCGATAGTACAACCAACTCTAATTGACATGAATTCCATCTCTCAACGTGCACGCCAATGGGTACACAGGACCATGTTTTTTTCCAACCATTCGAAAAACTAGACACTGTCTTTCCTAGGCCATCTGTCCGGCACCACTGACAAGGGGAAACTGGCCAACATAGGGAGTGAACTCGAGACCTGGTCGGCATTTTGCTCACTGAGGTTTAAGCTATTGAATATTTGCAATGGAATCGATGGTTACTTTATGTATGTTTACCTTAATTATTATCTTGTGTTTAAGATCTTCTGGTGATGGCATAGCTTTTAAATAAGCTCCCTCTGGTGACCATAATAAATCTTTATAGTGTTAAGGTCATGAATTAATAAAAATATTCTACTACAAGATTTGATCAAGTTCAGTGGTCAACTATTATATATTGGCTTAATAGTCTAACAGTGTCATGGATTCGATCCCAGGCTACTTTGGTCACCTGCCTAACCTCATGAGATTTTCATCAGCTTTTCTGGCTTACTACTGAATCAAACGGGTTCACCTTTCATGGACCTTTCTTAGAAACCATTCACCTAATTCTGTATTACCTCTGTGGTACCTTTTCACAGATTCCAATCCATTTCCAAGTGACTGAACAGTTATGTCTACATACTTGCAAATATAGTGGTAAAAGAGTTTTTACAGTTCAACAGTTCAATGTAAAATAAGTTACGTATTTTCATTGAGCAAGTCTAGCAATCACTTTAGAATGACTCAAAATTTCAAGCTGAAACTTTCAGAGATGCTATTTCTTCTCAATTCTGCAATTAATTTCATCAAGAGGTACCACATACAATCTACGGCTTCCCCTTTAATGTTTAATAAACTTGACATCATTATTTTTTAAATTTAAAATGTTGGTGCTGATTGATATTTTATAAAAGGATACCACCCAATATAGTTTTTAAGTGTGAAGCAAGAACTTTCTGTTGTTGCAATGAACAATGATTTTCTAATGATAAGATTACAGGATAGGGGGATGCTTTAAAGGCATGTAATTTAACAGCCTCTATGACCTGTCTAAACAATATCTTTGATGTCAATGTATAACCATGATATATAACAGGTTCATCATCAGATCCATCCCAACAATCCACTGAAAAATAAAAAGAAATGGAATAAAATAGAGAAAACATATAGTGGGTCCTTAAAGATGCATTCTGTAAAAGCTGAGTAAGCCTATTGAGGGTCTTTTTTTCTGGCTTCAAATGTTCTATAAATTATCTAGACATTTATTTATAACCAACACTCTAGGATCTGACAGTCGAAATATTATATCTATTAGAAATTTGTACGATTTAATAATTTAACAATAAAATGGATAATCAAGACTTTTTTATTACCGTAACAATGTTACTTGACAATCTCAACTATTTAGGCTAAATCTTATCACAACATCAAACATTTATAACTTTGCTTAAAATAAAGTAATCAGACTGAAATTTTAAATATATTAATTTTTTACTATCTATTTTTAAACTATTATAACAAGAATGGTCAATTCTTTTTATCTAAATCATACATAATGCATCTTTAAATATCAGCTAAAGAATTATAAATAAATGCAGAGATTATCTCCCTTTAGTCTTCATGGTTATTGAAACACAAAGAGCATAATGATATGACATTTGTATTTCTATGTTTTACCAGCGGTTTCCAGGCAAGATATGCCCACATTTTGCAAGAGATGGATATAGAACAAGCTAAAAAAAATTCAGGAAGTTATGGTTTGAAATGCACAAATATCGAAAAGGACCGAAATATTTGGGATATAAAGATATATTTAAAGTTTCATCAAAATCAAATAAAAATTGTGACTTATAGAGGGTCCACAAACTTGGTAATACATACTTTTACACTATTTGTGTACAAGGAGCGGACATTTTGTCTGGCAGTTCGGTTCAGATTTTTAAGAAATTCATTCATTGATGTTTGACGGTGATATATCTAAACTTTTTTTTTAAAATTTAATACAAATTGTGACTTCTAGTGGGTCCACAAGTTAAAAACATGATTTTCGTACAATCAGGGGCCATGATCCATGAAGTTACGGTCCGATACATGCCAATATTGAAAAGAATCGAAATCTTTGGGATATAAACCTATACTTCCAAGTTTCATCAAAATTGGATTAAATTGTGACCTGTTGTCACAAATTGCAGACGGATGGACAGGTGCGACAACAATATAGGTCCACATGAAAATGCGGGCGCATAAAAATGGATTATTATAAAATAACTTACATTCCACACATCTACAACCTCGTTCTAAAGCTGAAATATATGCTTCTACTTTACTTGGACCACGTAACTGATCATCTGTTAAATACCTATAAATAAAATCAAACATTCATTAATAACCCAGTTATTAAATTTGTATGGCTCAATATACACAAGTACAAGACTGCTTAGAGAAAAAGAAAGAGCAAGTATAGGACTACTTGAGAGAAAATGAAAGAACAAGTACAAGACTTATCTGAGAAAAGAAAGAACAAGGACAAAGAACAAAGAAAAAGAAAGAAAAAGTGTACATAGCTTCTCCCAAAAAAAAAAAGAAAGAACAAGGAAAAAGAACAATGTAAAGGAATGTTTAACATCTCATAAAGACAATATTTTAATCACTTGGAGATCAAATAAAAGTAAATTAGCTCGGACAACACTGTGTTACCTCCCACCCTTCAACTAGACCAGATTGTCAAGCGATTTTTTATATGCATGCAAATGTGTACATGGGGTCGACTATGTTCTTTCTGGTCCCTTGCAAATGACTGGGTGCAAGTCTATGTTCATCAGTCCATTCTGAATGGTTTTTCCTGGGAGCTGGGATTCAACACTAGAGAATCTTTGCAAGAGTCGATCTTAATAACTGCCTAATTATCACACTTCTAACAAGAGTTAATGTAACGCTATAGGCTATAGCTTCAGTAGAAGATAGAACTCATGATTAGAATGTCCAGAGTTTGAAAATACAGAATCACCCAACCATCTTTTGGATAGGGTTTTAAAACAACAATAAAAGTTGTGTGCAAATTAGAAAAATATCCTTCAGTAGTTGAATTTGAAAGTAAGTGTCACTCTCATATTGAACAGAAAATGAAATATATTAGAATAAATTTATACTTACGTATTATGAGAAGAATCTATATAATAATGAGAAAAAGGTTGGTTCATATCTTGATATACTGTTCCATGTTTAGGTTTAAATAACTGCTGTTTCTCAGATTTCAGGAAATTTGTAAAACCTGTGAGAAATATATATGTGTTGTTTAGGCATATTCCTGAAGCATGGTTGCAAGCATTATCAACTCACTTATATCCATTACTACATTTACACCGTTCATTGTAAAATGGTCATTTCTGATTAATTAACAACAACTAGTTCTGGTTCCTGATTCAACTTAGTTCAAAAACAATCTGATTAAATACAGATCTATATTTCATTTCGTTTTTTATACTTTCGATGGCCTACGCTACATGAAGATCTGACCGGTTGTAGTGATAGGTCGCGTCAGAGGTCATACAAGCGGCTTTTGACCCTATGACATCAAACATTTGATCAACCAATCAGCATTGATGCTTCTAGTGGATTACCCACAGTTCCGTGCACCACACGCCAAAAGCTCGCTGTAACAGACTGTTTCATTGGCTAAACCCTCACACCATCCAGAACACGTCAATGATAACAACTCTTCCAGATCCTATTATTATTATTATTATAATAACATATAGATATATCTTTTATAGTTTTAATAGAAATATGGATGAAAATTACAACAGGTAGTATAGACTATTTTGTTTCAATGGCAAGTGAACCTATAATAATTACAATCTAGTATAGTAATGGTTAATGAGATGATAAATGTCTTTTACCATTGCTTCAGGAATATTATGAGTACACACAAACATCATTCCACTTTTAATGAGAAAGACTTTGAAAAGGCATGTGATTTATTTCTTCCTTTATTTTTAACTTTGAAAACTTAATATATAAAATTTAATATACCTATTAAACTCAATTGCTCTCTGTTCTTTACTGCCATCTGAGGTTCAAATATCTCAATAATATGTCTACAATATTCTTCATCTGTATCATGTCTCTATAATTACAATTCATTTACACAAATTTAAATAAACACATAGAAGAAAATTACTTGTAGAATTAGAATAATAAAGTAGGTAGAAATGGGCGATTCTTCCAGTTATCCCAAATTTTTGTGTGACTAGTATCGTTCGTATTGAACTCTTCAGACTGGTTCTATTAGAATAATAGTCTGAACTTTGTAAATTAAACACTGTCACTCCCATGTACTTTATACCCATGGATCATTGACACTAATTGTTAAAATGTTCATCCTTGTTTTGTTTTTTTAATATAGAAATCATGAGCGAATGTAACAGAGATCTAGATGTATGCAAAAGCTCGTTTACCACAGTAGCATTGATTGGAAATCCATCAAGGTCTGTTAAGTCAAAGTTTTATCTTTACTCATATAGAAATAGGTGAATCAGTTTACCTTTTGTCCTTCTCTCATAAAACATAATAAGTCTGAGGCATTCATAACTCCTTTACCTCTACTAAATCTATAATAAGCATTAAATATTTTGATATTGTTAGATTATAAAATACTGACAAACCTCTCAAATAGATTTGTTTTTCTGTTTTAAACATTAGCACAACACATACTACATATATATATAGTAAATATGCAGGGTGACCACACCACACACAAACAATTACACAAGACAAACCTACGCCGTTAGCGTCCACTGCGCTGTACAGCCCCTGGCCTGTTTTAATTGATACAGACTTCACTCAAAACGAAAATCAAACTAACAATAGAAGAAGTAACTCAAGAATAAAGGGAATATTTCCCAAATGTTGTAACATATTAGTGTGACTCATGATCAGCTATGTGCTAATAAAATTATTGAATGAAAGTTTACATTATGCTCGAACCCTTTACTATGAACTACATAGTAGTTGCAAGGCATTACAACAAAAATTAACGCAAAATACTAATAAAATTAAAAGGATCAGACCACTTTGCTTTGGGTCAAACACAGGATTAACAATTTCATTGGATTTTATTTGCTGAACTGTTTTGTGGGATGACATTTCGCTATCTTTGAACAATTTATACCTACAGATAAACCCAGTGTTGAGATATAATAAATTTCGTTTTGACAAGAAAATAAGATTTTAAGAGTAAAACTGACTTTTGAAAAAATGAATCGCATAGAGCTTGCCCATCGCTTATGGAAATCACAAAACCGAATACTTTATTTTGACCTAAATCATAGAGGTATAGTTTACTTACTTGACAAATAATTCTTCTAATTCAGGTCTTCGTGTTAGTTGATGATAAAAATTAACAAATTCCTGTCGATCTAATGTATTATTACTCTTTTTATCTTTTCTATTTGTATTAGCAGCCTGAAATCATTCAATTAAGAAATGAAATGAAATGGGATTTAACTCTCTACTGTTCTGCTCTGTGACTGGGCTAATGAAGATGGGCATACGCCATACAGTGTGCTATGAGGAAAATTTTGACCGGGACAGTGACACTATGGCCTCCTCTTATATTTAATTCCAACTGCCAAGGGATCTTTTATGTACATGCCAATGTGTACACGTGAACTCGTTTTTCATCCAATCCGAATAACAGTACATTGTCACTTGCCAATCCTCTATCCTGCACCACTGACAAGGGGGAACCATGCCGGAAAATCCTGATGAACTTTCTCTACCAGCGCAGGGATCAAACATAAGACTTCCCGGTTAGTGAACCATTGTCTAACTCACTAAGTCACCGTGGCTATTGGTCAATAGCCTTTTTTGCTAAAGTACAAATGCTGAGATTAGTGAATGATCTTTGCATACTTTTACAAGCCGCATTTTGCTAACGGATTCGGTAGTACAAAAAAGTCAGCTAGAGTAATCAAAGTATCAGCCATATGATGTAATTCAAGACATTGTGAAGATGGCACAGAGCCCATGGAAAGATCAACATATAAAGATAGCCTACAAAATCTAAAATGACCAAACTCTGTCAATTTGTACCCTATAGGTGAAAAATGAATTTCCCCATGGACATAGACAACTAGTTTTCTGCTTAATCTTCTTCGATTTTCCACTGTTATGGGTCTTTTCTTGTGCATTCTAATGTAAACAGAGCAGGACCTTCATTTTTTGTCCCATCCGAATAGACTAGTTACATTTTTCAGGTAGGTTTCAAATTTGAAGTAAGTTCGGTTCCCTATCCACTCAACTTTCGCGGCCTTTATAAACTTTATAATATATGTATACTCACATCAAACATATCTTGAGCAAATTTTTTTTTCACATCCACATTTATGGTTTTTAATAATTTGAGAATTTCATTAAAATCTAAACTTCCGTCTCCATTCTTATCAGCGGCATTAAAAGCATCTCTGATCCATGTACACAAGTTAAAGAAACAAATTTGAACATTTATAATTTACTGAAATATCAGTTGCCAGTCAATGAAATATACATCCACAGCAACTAAGTCATCTGAGCCGTTCAAGAAGGTTGTCACATATCTAGGAATAACTTCAATGCGGTACTTGTATAAAGATAAAAATAGTCATCAGTGAGGCTGATGTCTTCTGCCACAATCCCAAATTAAATAGATGACACATTAATTGCACATTTATCTTTTTACGAAGCATCAAGCAATCAAACTGCTTATCTAAGCAGAATATGTTCATGATTGAACTTATGTCGAGGTATTGCTGTAATGACCTTCACTTAATTAGAATCAAATCTATTGTGTACCAAATATCGACCAATGAAATTGCTTATCTCTGCTTAGTCTATGTAGAAAATGCTCATCATCGAATTCAGTCAAGGTTTTTTACCTAATAAACACCTACACCAAGTTGCTACTGATTGTTATTCATAAATTAAGCTATGTTTGTGTTATCAGTGTTCTCCTATCACTAAATGCCTTTTCAAACAATAATACACCAAGTTTGAACATTTTAGCTCAATTAGAGCTATTGTGTCCCCAAATGTGTGACAGAGAGACGGACAAATGAAAAAAATGGACCGACCGACAGACAGATTGACAAATGTATTTCTTCTGCCTATGTATGTACAGACGGTTGTAGAGTACAATGTATATAATAAACACATGGTTACTATTTATAGTACTGGTCAACAGGATACAAACAATAGATGGGCATCTATTTCACACATGTATATTATTGGTAACAAAAACTTAGGGATTGGTCAATAACTGATCAATGATTAGAGATCTCAATTAACTAATCAAATAATAAATAAAATATTATAAGAATATATTTCTTGTCATTTTAACAGATAAACAAATCTGAAATGTGTCTGCTCAAACTCTCACATCAAACAAAGACATCTAGAATTTATGTTAGAAATTAACAATTATTTATTCTCCTTTGGCTCTTATAGCTATCCAGTACTAGATATGAAGGAATCTATTCTATCCAATGGTTATATATGATTTGTATTTTCTATTGCCACAATGGAAGACAAGACAAATATCAAGGTAAATATTTTGTAATTGTATTACACAATACTTATATCAGGTATAATAGTAAGGTGAAGTCTCTTTCGATTTTAATGTTATTACTATAATAGCCTGCACCTTAAAACTTGATATAACTTAATGGGTACTGTGTATCAGTGTATGTATAACAAACATTCAAGTTTACCAATACAACATGCTTCATACAACTAACCACTCATTCATTTACCAATACACCATGCTACATACAACTAACCAATCAATCATTCAATTTTAGGCAACACAAATAAAATAAGTTGTTTCTCGGGCACCGCCCGCACGCAAAATTGGTTGCGCGTGCGGCCTATTTATTAGTCTTGATGAAAAAAAAAAAATATGTAACGCCCGCCCGAACATCGATAAGCAAGTCATAAAAAAAATATGCCGCATGTATCTACATGCCCCATACGTGAATATCCATTCAAATGTATTAAACTGATTCAGATGTAAACGCTCATTTACGGGTCTTTTTTATTGATATCGAAAGAACCTCCATTTTTGTATCACGTGATTATAATTACCTCCCCTTGTGAACTGGAATTTGAATCGTGTTAAACACCGAAAGTCATTGACAACAATGCAATGTATTTCAATCATTCGATCTTAATCGGCTCATTATTGCCGGCTTCAGTCGGTCCATGTTTAAAAAAATCCTACTTATAAAACAATGAATCGTAGAACAGGTTAATTATTATAACTTGTGGCTACGAATACGATACGATGATAGTCACCATACCTTAGTCAGAATCTGGGTCATTAGCACATTTAACGGTAGTTTTGATAATCCGGAAAATAATAATTGGATTACACATTTGATGGTTTTACTGACGAGTTGTTAGATAAATTTAAATAGTCATTCGATATAAACCCCAGATAGAACACCGAATATCCTGAGAAACACATCGAATAACCTGAGAAACAGTCATATCCCGATGACACGTGACATTGGTTGGAATTAGGTCAATCATTATAAACCAGCAATACTAGATTTAGATCGAAGTGTCGTTTACCGTGATGATGATGATACACATGCTGACAGAGGCTTACTCTTTAAAATATTGTCGTTATTATGGACGGCTATTAATAGTCGTACGGAATTTTATTTTAAACCAATTTCAATTATGGTTGTCACTATTACCATTAGTAAGCTACATTACGTGAATTAAATATGGAAAATTATTTTCCTTTCAGTCAGTGTTCAGTGTTTGAGTAGACTTGATTTTTGGGTTTATGTTCTAAGTATGTATAATATATAACTGAAAGCAAAACCGTAGACAAGTAATTCTTATTAAAAAAAAAAAAAAAAAAATACAAGGCCGCCCTCCCGCCCCAACAATTTTCAACAATAGGCAAATTTTATTTTGCACCATCCTCTAGCCAGAAATGAGATAAAAAAAAAAATAAACCGCCCTCCCCCCCTACAGTTTCAGCTGTCAGTTGCCCGAGAAACAAGACATTTATTTTGTGTAGCCTTAGCTATACACCATTATCAATACGATATATCACTAAATATACTTTTTAAATACATGTAGTGTGTAAATCCCTATGCATATGCAAATATTTTCAGAAAGTCTACAGTTTCAGGTCTTATTTACAAAGATGCATGTGACAGTATTTTGCAATTGCACAAGTCAAAATTGATTCAACATGACACATGAGTGTTGCACCATGGAATATACCTAAAGTTACTTTGCCCCTCCCAAAAAAGGGTCGAAGATCTTTCCCAGCTACAACACATATATTTCATAAGATCAAAATGGCTTATTCTATTCAAAAAGATTTAACAGTCAATGTAAATAACTGCTCAACAAAACACAGACAAAACAAACAAATAAAGGAGGGAATCGATTGTCTGATGCCTCTAGTATTATTACTTTACTCTCTATCTCTATTAAAAGGATATTTATCTGTTTCGTTTCTTTGTTCAGCCAATTTGTCCATCTGTATCGCATATCTCAGACCTCGTACCCATTTGTCTCTCATCTCTCTTCTCATTGCCATTAAATATATTACCTTGTGATTTGCTCCAACAATAACAGCAAAACATAAAGATTTCTAAAAAAAACAAAATAAAAAAAATATACAGTAATGATTTCTAAAAGAAATAAAAAAGCAGAATAAAAAACATTCCAATGAAATAATACATGATTTCAATATTTACATATTTTAACCAGCTCCTTCATAAGCAAATTCTAGAAGATTCTAGTAAGTTCCATATTGATGCAAGGTCTATAAAGTTTACAAGAGAAAAATAGGAATCGGCTCAATTTTCTTTTTTTTTTTAGTCAACACACGTCTCATTTTTCGATCTTTAATATAAAATGAAATGGGGTTTGAATTAAAGTCCAACTTTTTGACCGGGCTAATGAAGACAGATCTTTAATTTTTCAGATATGACACTATTTAAAAATTTAAAAGTGTTGTACAGCTATACTGTTATATTGAGTGCAAGAAATATATTAGATTCCATTTGAATTACATGTACATGCATAATCTTCGAAATCCAGCAAATAGTGGAGAAGGTAGAATGGATTATTTTGCCTTACAAAACTGTTCCACTCAAATATTAAACATTAAATAAAAGACAGAAACATGAGAGAATAGTTAATTTTAGATTATCCTCAAATAATTAATCTTATTCTCTTTAAAACAATTCTGGTCGAAATATTATTCAAATCAATCAATTCTAACTAAAGATACATTATGGGAGATTGGCAGTTCTCACTATAATAGTTAAAAACTAGATAATGTAAAGGCAATTTGCTGAAAATTTCATTCAAATTGATCCACTATAAACCGAGAACTAAGCTATTGAATTTCCGCCTAGCCGCGATCTTCATTACTAGAGTCTGTACGATAAACAGCATAGTCTTGATTATCCATTTAATCGTTAAACCGTGAAGGAAAGTTATGCAGTAAATCGGCTCATAATCTGCTAAAGATCGCAGGCTAGTGATGCCATCTAGAGTTGATTATGGTCTGGATAGGTTAATTAATGTCTAATTAATAATTTAGATAATATTTCAGGCCTAACGAAAGACCTGCAATAGACAGATTTAGCTCTTGCATAATATACAGTATGTTTAATTTTATGACTAATTTATGGTCGTAATTTTACATTGGTTCTATTCATTTCTAATTTCATATATTTATTTATTATTGCAAAAAAATAAGTTTCAAGCTGTTACTATAAACAAAAGTAACTGTATAATATTTGTCACCATCTGTGTTATATATAATGTTCATCATAATTCTATACTAAATTTTTTATTGTTGTGATAACATTTACGGGTACAATACTGCTCCATAAAACATTACAAGAATAGTGCAGAGGCAATTATGAATGTCAGAGGAGTCAAAATAATATTAAAATGTCACACTGTTGATAAAATGAATTCAGTTTTTTTAAAGTGTGATTAACAGTGGAGTATGTAATCTATTAATAACACTTTATTACTTGGTACATATAAATGTTGACAAACCATTTCCTTTAAAAACTTGGAGTAAAGTGATACATGTATATTTCAAACTTGTACATCCCTGGACAGTCAAACCTTCTGCTCCATATTGAACCTCCTAGTCATAGACCTATGAATAGCTCTTCATATTGTACTATAGTTCATGGGGCTGCATGGCGCAATACAGAGCACTAGTTTCGGTCAGTCCATATGCTAAATGGTTAATCTGCAAGTTATATGTTATGAATACGCATTAAAAATTTCTTACATCTAAGCCATTCAATTTCTTAGAAAAGTCTTTTTCCCCTTCTCTCACTTCTCGAACTTGTGAAATTCTCACTGAAAAATAAAATTACACTTTATCATGGTTAAGATCAAGGTAGTCTCCAGGAAAAGATATTTTAGGGAGGGAGATGTTTTATCTTCCTTAACTGCAAGCCCTGCTACCACACATAATGTATATTTAATTTCCAGGGAATCAAATGACACTTAAACCTAAAATAATAGGTCCACATGAAAATGTCTCCATTAGTTTTCATAATGCTATATAAAACATGTCTGGCTAGCAAATACGGCCTATGCAGAATCAAGGATTATTTGTCACCGACAGCTTGATTTCTTGTAAAACAGCTTACCGATTTTCATTGTGCACAAGAATTCCCCATCACAATTAGGGTCATGATTTATGTTTGTTAATGTGAGTTATCTATACAACGCTAAATATAGTGTCATCCGTTACAGGCCAAAACAAACCATCTCTGTTATGAAAGCATTATTTTGGAAACTCATTAAGCATCCCAGATGGTTTGTTGGTCACAGATTAATAGTGTGTCAGTATAGTGCACATATACTAGACGAAATGTCGAGGTCAATCTTTTGTATAATTATTGGATAGTGATGTATGTAACAGATAGTTCTCCTCTACAACCACCAGAATATGGACTTCTCAAGAGTTCTTGGATTTTCTACCTCCCCATTTCTTTATAATTAGCGAAATGAAATGAATGAAGACAGGCATATGCCCTACAGTGTGCTATGACCGAAGTTTTACCCAGCCGGCAACACTATGGCCTACTCTCATATTGAATTCCAACTGCTGAGGTTTTTCTTGAGTGCACACCAATGTGTACAGGACCTTGTTTTTTCGTCCCATCTGAACGACTACACTAGGTCCCTCGAGTTGACAGACCGTCTGTCCTGCACCACAGACAAGCCGGAACCACGCCAGAAAATCCTGATGAACTTTCTCAGCCATCACCGGGATCTAATACAAGACCTCCAGGTTAGTGAATCAATCTCTTACTCTGAGCCACCGTAATAATAAATAGAAGAATTAACTTACAGTCTGTTTTAGCACTTCTGAATCTTTTCTGTGTACCGTCATAATGCAATATCATGTTTTTTCTATCCAATGAGAAGGTTCTTTGTAATAATTTTGATGCTGATTTGACCTTGTAAAGCGCTGTTCCTTTCGCCAATTCATCAAGAAGGCGGTCCACTGAAAGAAAACAAAATTCATCATTAATTACAATTTAATTTTATTCTATGTAAATATTCTAAAATTATCTCCAGGTAACAATAAAAAAAATAACAACAGATATTTTCTAGGCATATCAATTCAGCAAAATAATTAAACTGCTACATGGTGTTCCAGAAAAGCATGCACACCCATCACAAACGAGGAAGATAATTTGTGTATAACGTCCACTCGACACAGACTAGGCCGATTTGGGACTGACATGATTTATTTTACTTCAATAATTCGCTTGGAGATAGGGATCTTTAGTTGTTGGAGGAATCGCAAAACCAGGAGAAAACCCACGAGATTGGACAGGTGTTCTTACTCCTTTTCATGTACAAGCGGGGAATCAACACCACGCCACTCTATGTCAGACCTTGTGATCTAACGTGCAAGCATTAAACCATCGTGCAAGCATCACAGCCAAATAAATAGGCACAATGCATCACAAGCAAATAGACACATTTTATTTTACACAGAGACAGTAAAGGAAGAATTTAAGGTAATTTAACATATTAGACAGTCAACGGTTAAATAGGTCATTTTTATTTGACTTTGTAAGTAACTCAACATAAAAATGTAAGTTCATTAACAAGAAATAGGGTTATTCTTGTTGATATGAATTTATGAAAGATGTTATCTTTTAAAAGGCATAAAAACAGTATGCATTAGTCAAACATAAATATTTAAGATACCCAAAGAAAAAAGAATATACATGTATTGTATGTTCTTTTTCCATTTGTCAACATGTTAGAGTATCATGTGTTCTGGAATGAGTAAGTATATATATCTCACATCAGGTTCAAGATACACTATTAATAATCTAACTATACATGAAAACCTTTATAAACAAAATGTACATGCTCTAGCATAATTGATGAGCTGAGTTAAGTGATCGTTATTTCTGCATTTTACTGAACATCCTGTTTATTGTAATTATAAAGTTACTCATTCAAACTTTATTTCATTTTGTCTCTAATTTTCTTCACTGCATGGAGATCTAAAATATGTTCAAATCTGCTGCTGTGTTATGCACCTATAGATCAGGATATGAGATCTTGGCATGACTGGAAAAGCTATGTTTTCTTTGGTTGTTTGCACTGTTTAGTAAGTGAATGACATGGGGTTTAATGTCCTACTTTTATTTAGAAAGACCATGGATAAAACTTGTCAGATCCTAAGTAAAATTGATTCTGATTAATTATTAATAAACAAAATGAATAACATCGTATTTTGATCAGATTGAATTTTGGTTTGAGGAATTTTGAAAAGCAAACGCAAGTAAAATATAAAACAGAGCAAGAATGATAAAAAGAAAATACATGTTTCTTCAAATGAGATAATATAATTATTGTTACGTCTGGAGAATGTCATCTGATCGAAAATCTTTTTAATAACAAACACATGGGATTTTCCAATTGAATTCCTTTTGACAAAAAAATGCTCGAAAACCTTATCACCCTGTAAATGAAACTCTCTTGGGATGGAGATGAATTAATATTAACAGAGAAACTATTAACATTCCTGATGAAACAATCCACTATTACTAGGATCAATAGCAACTTAATCTTTTTAAAAACCCTATTGATGTTACCATTGTATGCCTCATCACAGTCAATAAGTGTCTATTGATTTATATCCCCACTAAAATCAGATTACAAAAATAGCAGGCAAACATATAAAAATTTGTTCTTGGGTCTTACATTCCTCAACACTGAAACTTTTAAAATTATTCTAGTGTTGCCTTGCAAAGATTCACAATATCTCAGAAAGAGAGAGAGAGATTTGGTTTACAAATTAAATACATCATCACAAATGGTTCAGTTTGTAACTAAGGTGTACGATTTATATATCTTTATGTCATGAGCTCTTAAGGAAACCTCTGGGGACAAGAAAATCATAAAAGATAGTTTGCCAGAAAAAGGAACATAGCTAAGTCTGCGCAGTCCACAAAGGTTGTTCGTATTTAATCTTTTGCAGGTTATAGGAGCACTTACAAGACAATAAAAACCTACAAAGTTATCAAAACTAACAACCCATTAAGAAATTGTTAGAAATAATTAAAATTTGATTATCTTTTAGGTTCTTCCTATAAGTTAAAATTTATTATGCGAAACATACTGGTAATCAAAAATAAATCAATAGGATTCTTTGTATCATGAACAAACATGTAAACACAGTGTATAAATTTCAAATCAATCGAATTATTATGTTTGTCAGCCTAAATTATGTCTGTCAGAATAAATTCCAAACCAATCTCTGATCATCTACCCCTAACCTGTGGTATTAATCAAATCTAATTGGTTATTGTGGTCATGTTAATTCTTAATATCCCATCCCATGAGGTAACCTGCAGCCATTTTGTCTCCCCATGCAAACAATTAATTGATACTATACAATTATACGAGGGCAGAAATCATCAGTGTATCTCATATAAATTAATTAATGAAAGATAATAAAGGTTATCGTATGTCCACTATTATATTTAGGTCTCCAGAGATAAGTAATGAATAAGTCACAGCACGTATGTCATAGTATAATTCATTGTTTTATTGACTGTGAGCTGTGGTAATACGACGAACTATGGACTGGACTCGTCACTATCTGGGTTTTAATTGCAACATGGGCTGACTAAAGCCCATAAGAACTCAAGTAGCATATGTAGGATATCTGAAAGGAGGTGTCCCAAACCTGGAAATAAGGCACCTGTCACAGTCAATTTCAGAAATGTTAGGCACGAATTATGGTTTTCAGCGAGTACATTTCTTGGACCTATGCCTGGCACAGATTTGTCTTTTATTTCAATGTTTTCATTGATATTATTAAACATACCTGGTTATACAAGTTTGATATTTTGTCAGGTACATCTCAACTCACTTTTTCCAAGTCGTGGGCTATACATTTTCAAAAATGACATTATTGTGCAATAATATATGGCGGTCAGAACTCCTGCAAACTTTTTGCAGTTAAATACACCAAAACTGCTATATTTTGATTGTTTCAATCAGCCATAAAATCAAATTATACAATAACCAAATATAAATACACATTTTTAAGTGCTTGATCAAATTATATTTTACTTCATCACATCCAAATATTATTATCAATAAAATTACTTTCAAGTACATGCAAAATGGAAATAATAAAGAGTGAAATGGGGTTCACTATCTAGGTCATTATGGAACTAACATGGTATATTTTTCATTTCAATAATTTACTTGCATTCATGAGTCTTTAGAAACGGGAAGAAGTCTGAAATTCCCAGAGAAAAACAACTAAATTAGCAACAACCCTTGTCATTTACAAGTCTGAGATTGAACCCATGACTTGCAGGAATCACAGGTCATATTATCTATAGTCATTGCATTAAACAACTCCCCCCAACACCTACTCCCCAAAACAAAATAAAGGAATAATGGATCATTTACACTGTGGGTGCGTGAATTTGAGTCACCAACATGAGGTATTTTAAAACAACTCCCCCCCAACACCTACCGTCCAAAACAAAATAAAGGAAAAATGTACCATTTATACTGTGGGTGCATGAATTTGAGTCACCAACACGAGGTATTTTAAAGCTACTCCCCCCAACACCTACCGCCCAAAACAAAATAAAGAAATAATGTATCATTTACACTGTGGGTGCGTGAATTTGAGTCACCAACACAAGGTATTTTAAAACTTATGCCTTGAAGGTATATTGCCACATGCCATACACATATGTCTAAGAATCTAATTAAATAAACTTGTATCAAACCACAAGAATGAAGCTTTATTGAATAAATAACTAAACAATTTCTCTAGAATAAGTTAAAATGTTCATTCCTCCACAATATCACTATTGTTAGTATTGATTTTGATATAGTTTATAGTTCTGTTTATAGTTCTGTTAAGAAACCTCGGAGCAGAACAGTAGGATGCTAAACCCCATTTCATTTCATTTCGTTAAGAAACCTATTTTTATTTATTTATTTATTTATTCAGGGAACCTGAACTAATGAATTGAGGTAATGGAATATTGCCATTAAAATATTTATATGATTTAAATGTCATGATCTCCTTCATCTAATCAAAGCTGTCCATCAAACTAATACTAGGATTAATATAAATGTTTTATAGACATGTCGATTAGTTAGTAAAGGTGCTTCTATTGATAACGCTTGATTCCATACAGATCAATTACATTTTATCAGATTTACAATCAAATCAGCAACCGAGACAAAACAACCTTTCTAGTTACTGCATACTTCAGAATCACCCAAGATTAAAAACAGTTTCTTAGATAAAACAGTTTTTAAAAATGTACACTGTTTCAAGGGCCTGTTGCATAAGTGGTACAAAAAGTGAGCTCAATTTTGGTCTATTCTTCTTCAACATCAAATGCCATGGATTCTCTTTTTAAGTTGAACTGAGAAACGGAAATTGAGCGCGTAAAATCCTGAAAGTTTGTTGTGTCTCACTCTAGTTAGAGTCCAGTATGAATCTGATTTCATCAAACCAGAAATTTTTTATCTATTTTTGTTTATTATAGAATAAACAATGGTGTTCCAAATGTTATAAAGGTATTAACAAATCTCTAGATTCTCCAAAATCTTCTTTGAAGATATATTAGTTAAGAGTTTAATAAAGAGTTGGTCATTCTTGCTATAATTTAAAAATAGATGATAATATATTGAAAATTTCATTCAAATTACTTTACTCTGAGCCAAATTATCAATGTTTGTAGTTTTTATAAGATGTGTGCATTGTGGTAACCTGGTCACTGGTATATTCGAGACTTAGCCTTGCTTTCCAATTTTTAAATTAAATTTTTAAATGGCGAACTGTTCCAATCTAGTTAAAATCTCGGGTATCCGATGCCATTGAGAGTTGATTATGGTCTTGCTTTGTTAATAAATGTCTAATAAATAGTTTATATAAAATTTCAGGCCTAAAGAAAGACCTGTAATAGTTAGATTTAGCTCTTGCATAATGTATGT